AAGACTCAGAGGTATCCAGAATCTATCTAACAACAATCCTCCAACCCTGGATGCCAGGAGCTGAACCCAATTAGAGGGACAGCATCACAGAGGAGGCCACAGGAACAAGGGCGCTCCATAAGAAAGACTACCTGTGGGGCGCAGTGCCAGAGGGGCAAGAAGTGTGGCAGACACAGCAAGATTTGAGGTAAATTTAAGAGGAAGAGGACATTGTAAAAGAGAGTAGGAAGGAGGGGTTGGGTTTGCATCCTAAGGAGAAGATGGGAACCCAGCCTGGTGGAAGGGCAGTCAGGTGATACTAGAAGAAAATTACATCGAGTTTGGTGCAGAAGGTCGGCGTCAGCCTGTAGAAAACAAATTGAGGATAGAGTGGTGGCTACGTGGTTTTCAAGTCAGCAGCTTGAAAAGTGCACCAGGTGTTGACCGTGGGGTAGCCAGTGTTCCTTGCCATGGGAGCCTGAATTCAGCACCTTCCTAAGTAGCCAGCTGATCTCTGAAATCGCCTACCTTCCTTGCACAGGTGCACATACCTGAGACGGCTGCTCAAGGCAGAAGGTGGCCTTCCCTTCAGGAACCCCAGGATCGCAGGAACAAGAAACAAGGAGGAGGCTCTCAGGTTCCGTTCCTGACAGCTGTTGTCTCTAGACAATATTATTTCTTGTTCCAATTCCCTGGCCTCAGTTTCGCGGTCCCTGAGTAAACAGGTCCATGCTTTGGGCCCCATTGTTATTGCTCTGGTTGGTATTCTAGAATGCAGCAGAATCAGGGATGGGTGTGGGGCCAGAGGCTCTAGTTGAGGGTCAAGCTCACAGGGGAGATATGAACAGGAGCTTGTGGCTCCAGGCGCCAAGAAATGATTCAAAAACCTCTTGGGCCTCAAGGGGCAAAAGGCCCTTGCTTGCTAGGATCTGCATGCTAGGCCAGGAATAGCTTTCTTTCCAGAGGTTGGGACACAAGGAAGTCAAACCAGCCAGCTCTAGGGAGGTTAGGCTCCTTCCAAGTCAGATCCTGTGGAGGTCAGGTCTTGTGGAGTGGGGATCCATGGAAGACAGACCCAGCTGGGTCTTTTGGAGTTTGGGCTCTGAAGGACATCGGTGCTGGTACACATCCTAGAGAGCAGGGTGACAAGCAGGGGTGGAGGCCCTCAGGGCAGGCTGAGAGTGTGGGCATCCAGGGTAGGTATGACTCCAGACAGTGAGAGAGGCAGGGGGCAGGCTCCATATGATCCCCTCGGCTCTTCTCACACGTCCCCCTCACCTCCAGTTTGGACCTATGAAAGAGGCTGGATGGAGCCAGATCTGAGACTGACAAGAAAGTGCCAGAGAGACGGGCTTGCAACTTCCCAAAGTGAGACCCCCCACACACACACATTAGGTGTGGCAACAGCCCTCCTGGGCAGATTTGCCTCCTGAGTCACGGGACAGGCTGAGCCTTGGTGCTCTGGTCAGGATGGGGCCTGAGATCGTGCATTAATCAGCTCTGCACAGAGGCCCTGTCTGTGCCCTGGCTCTGGGCGCTGGATGTTCACATTGACTTCAAGGATCTAGGCTCAAGTCCCACAATGCCTGAACCTTCCAGAGTCTACCACAATCCCATAGCAGGCAACTCCCATGCTTTCCTCTGGCCCTTGGGCCCCTGGTGACCGGTGTGGCTAACCAAGCCTTGTCAGCCTGGCTGAGAAAGGCAGGACTTAATGGGTGTGCCTGGCCTGACCTCTAGGAATCTGGATTTGTCTGTGACTATGGCAGAAGTGTTCTCCTGGTAAGCACTGCCACCTGGTGGCCTTCCCAGGCATGGCCTCCACTCCAAATCCAAAGCCTTCTGGGACATCGATCCCTGAGAAGCACTAGCAGCATCATAAACTTCCTAGCCGCCTCTAGACAGGTAACCCCCAGTGTCCCCCAAGCCATTCTGGACATGGGCAGTTATCCATGTGGTATCTGCAGTGCGAATTTCTAATAATAAAAACCCAGAGTAGGAAATCAGAGAGTGAAAGCTGAGAGATCAGAGAAGCAGAGTAGTCGGCCACTAGAGGGACTTTTTACCTCTGTCTAATCCTCAGACTGATGGGGCGCTCCTGCCTCTACAGATCCTCAGACTGCATCCTTGGACTGCATCCTCAGACTGCATCCTCAGACTGCAGACTGCATTTCCTGTCTCCTCCCACCTTATATTACTCTCCAGCCCTCTCACGCCTCCCTAGTCCTGGATTAAAGATGTGTGCCACTACTGCCTGGCCTCTAGGGCCACCTAGAGGTTTAACTCTGCATTTTCACCCTCAGCAAAGCTTTATTTGTTAGATCATAAACAAAATATCACCTCAGGTACCATGTCCCTTCTGGTCTGCGAACACACCCCATTTGGCCCTTGTGAGTGTGCCTCCTCAGGAGGGACCCCTCTCTCTCAGGTGATGGGTGAGCACCTAGTAGTCTAAGTGGAGTTTGGGGTCATAATGTATTTTGCCCAGATGTTTTCTTTGTGTACAGAGGTTCACAAACACCCAGTAGGATGTTACTACAGACCTATGAGATGTTGATGTCTTCAGGGAGAGCCCACCTGAGTCAATTGGATGAGGTCCTCAAGTCTGGATGAGGTCCTTCTGCTAAAGGGATAAATTTGACCATGAACGAGAGAAAGCGGGGGGAAGGAGGTGTCAGGAGAAGTAGACTGAGGACATCTGCGAATTAAGGAACAGGAAATGCCCTCGGAGACAGTGCCAGGATGCAGTGGCTTCCCAAGGCCAGAGTCTTGGGGCCTTGGATTTTTCTGTGCCCACACAGTCCATGAATGCCTAAGCTCACTGCTTCCCTAAGAAGAGCATCCCTGTGTGTCAGCTGCCCATGGGATTTCTCATAGCATACAGCCCCAGGCTCAGTCTAGGGACCAGCTTCTTATTCCTTCCCACCACCAGGCCACTAACCCATATTAGCCGTTAGCTATCTAAAGGACCCATAAGACACCACGGAGTGGCTGCCTAGTGAGGGTGAGAACAGTGGATACTCCCAGAGTATCCCCAGCATGGCTATCCTTGAAGGAACTCGCCAGAATACATCTGCACTTCCCTGCTGGCCAGAGACTCTCAGGCTCCCACACACCAGCTTCCCTTCTATGAATGGAGTGACAGATGAGGCTGCTACCCTACAAAGATAGCATAACACACAAAGCCTGGGCAGGGCACCGTGGCCAGAACAGATTGCGGAGAGCTTGGGGCAGGCACAGCTCTAATCAGAGGAAACCATGCTCTACTCTGTCTATGGCCACTGGCTGACTGGACAATGTCTATAACCAAAGGCCATGTGGCTCTGATGTATGGATCAGGTGCACCCAAAGGGAACACACATCTGGTGACCCCCCCCCACACCCAGTCATCTTTACCTGCTCTCTTAATAATAGGCTTATTTTAACCAGGTATTTGGTACCTAGTAGAAAGATTCCATTTCCCAATATTCTGGCTGCAATGGCCTTACTACAGAGGTCATATTAAGAGTGGTAGCCATACCCTAAAGGAGGAAGTCATGCAAAACAGAGCAACAAGACAGCAGACTCCCCTATACTGGGGTTATATCTCTGTGAACAAGTGACATTGGTTATTCAGGACTTCTCTATTCATCACAGCCAACTCTTAATTCCAATTCTAATGCTATAGGAGACCTCTAGGCTCAGAGAAATGAGGCAGGCACCACTGAAGGTAATTATAGCCAGAAAGAGGAGCACAGGACATTGGCCATGCCCAAAAAGGTGAAAGCCGTCATGAGTCAGGCCACCCAACTGCCCTCAAATTCAGACTGATCACAGTGGCCCAGAAACAGAAGGCTTCACTGGCATCCACAATGCCTGCCAGGGTCATGTAGCCCCATAGACTCTCTGGAGGTCATGCTGCAAAGGAGACATAGGATGTCTTTTCGAGCTGTGCCAAGAGCTCTTGGCATCTGTCTAGGGTGAGCTACCAGCTTGAAGAGCTCCCAATCCAAGTACAGCTGCTCCTCATGCTCAGCTGCTCCTCACGCTCAGCTGCCCCTCATGCTCAGCTGCTCCCAGAGGCCTAGAGAAGGGGCTGTGGGGTGACAATTCCAGAGGTCAGAGCAGCAAAGCCCCAAACTTACAGGCCAGAACCCACCACAGCCAGGCTCCTCCAACATTCAGGCAGTAGAGAGACAGACTGGGTGAGTGTCTACCTATCCTGCACCTCATCCTGCTGGGGTTCAGGGTACCCAGAGGATAGGTAACCAAGAGTCAATGCAAGAGCCAGAGGGGGGGGTAAAGTGTCAAAGAAGAAGAGAGGGTGGGCACACAAGGGCAGTAAAGTAGCCAGGGTGGTATCAGAGCTCACGCCATGTGCCTGCAAGTGTCAGTATGGAAATCAGCGCACTGTTGAAGGGGGTGGGGATGGCACGGCCCCAACCAGAAGCACCTGTTGTTCCAGGATCCTGCTATCCTGACAACTGAACGCTATACCCTGAAGGTGTGGACTTGTGCTGTCTCAGACTGGTTCCCAAATGGGTGGGGCATATCTGGTGTTTCACAGTCTCAAGTCTGTAGCTATTTGAAGGTGCCCTGTAAGATGTTCTGGTAGGAAGATGAAAGACCAAAGACTGGGCAGAGCCACACTTTGACTAAAGCTGTTTGGTTACACATACCTCTAGCCTCCCATTTAAACTTCAGCCTAATGGCAAGACCCTGAAGATGGATTTGGTATGTGGGGATGGGGTGGTGTGAGTAGATTTCTTCATCTTCCCTATGTAGCCACATTAAATGTCTTTTTTCTACTTCTATTCCTTAATGACTGATTGGCCTACTGAGGATGAGTGCCGAGCCTAGGTTGTTAAGACTGGAAGGACCCAGCCTCTGACGCTAACAACTCAGGTAACAGCCCCAGGAAACACAGAGCCTGGGACCTGAGAGGCCCCAAGTTGAAGTGCTGAGTGCCGTGCCTCCCCAGCTAGACCCCCAGCCCTTACACCGGCTTTCAGGAGACACATGCAAATGAAGAGACCAGGCGGTTCAAGTTGAATCACTGTTTTACTAAGTGCACAGGTCCACTGGGCATCTGAACTCAGCCCTGTGGCAGCAGAACTTTCTAGAACCTTCTGCATGCATCCCTGCTGCGGGATTACGTCCCGAAGTTCCCTGCGAGCACACGCTGGCCCGCCCGCTCACACAGCACAAGGGCCATTCTGTTCATGTCGAGTAAGTTAGCATTTCAGCTAGTCAGTTAGAAAACTAGAGTTCATTCCCTGGGCATCTATCCCTAGAAGACAGCGTTGTGTGCAGGTGGCGGCACGCTGGCCAAAAGGAGAAGGCCATTTGCTGCGGCCCAAGGGCACGTACAAAATGTTTAGGGTGCACGTCAGTATGAAGGCATTATGAAATATTCTTTGGAGCATGAACAAAAGTGCAAAGACAGCCAAAGGCAACAGCGCAGATGGGGAAGCTGCAGCCGCAGCTGCGGCCAGGAGGGACAAGACTGCAATGGGTAAGTGTGGGCTGGAAGCGCAGGGTGCGCTGCACTGTATATGGGACCATCCCAGGGAGATGGATGACGTCAAGGGGATCACAGCTTTGAGCCCCTCCGTGTGGGGCTGCTAGGGGCAGCCCATCGTACCAGCACTCCTCTCCAGTAGCAGGACCTGGAGGTGGAGTTCAGTGTGTCTGTATCAGGCAGAGGCAGGGGTGACCTTGGTGAATTTCCCTCAACATACATTAAGGCAACAACTTTGTAAAAGCCAGTCCCAATTGGATGTGCGGTGTTAGCATTGTGTATTCCTGCCTGAGAGTCCCAGAACAGCCTGGGGACTACCCCTTCTCAGATAGGGAGCTTCGGGGTGGGTTATAGGTCAGCCAGGACACGAGGAACATCTGAGACAAATCAGAGCTCTGAACAAACAAAACCCAGGCACCTCTAGGTGTTTCATGGGTCTCCTTCCTAGGACGCAATCCTTTCTCTCTACTCCCATTCCTGGTGCTCCCCAAGGCCCGTTGCTAGAACCACCTCATAGATAAGCAAAATTCATCAAACTGTGGCCCCAATTTATTTACTCACATGGACACTGGGCCCCCTAAACCTAGGACCTAAGGCATGTGTTGGGCACATGCTGAAGACTCCTCAGAACGAAGAGGCACCTGGATCTCTAGAAACTCTCATTCCATCATAATACCCCCTCCAGGAAGCTCAGCTGGGGCACAGTAGGAACCTGGGACAGACAGACAGACAGACATGCCTGCAGACTCTTCTTGGAACTCTTCCCCCACATCCTACATCCTATGCCCTGGGAAGTCTCAGGTGAGCCGAAGGCCAATGTCTCTACATCATGGGAACAGATGACATCATTCCAGCCATGTGAGCTTGGACTTCAGGGGTATTCTGTGTATCGATTCTCCACTCTAACCCCAGCCCACCCTGCCGGAATGCAAGGTGCCCAGATATCTGGGTCCTTCTACTGTGGGCCCCACTGTTCAAGTTTTTCATGTTTATTTCAAGAGGTTGTGGCCTCAGAGAAAGGCCCACATGTTGTCCTGTTGGGGTTGGGGTATGAGCCATGAGCAAGTGTATTAGCCTCCACTCTCTGCACTACTTACAGCCAGAAAACTGAAAGACGCAATCTCCGGTGTTTCAGAACGGCATTCCTGTCCCAGATTCTCTCACCTCTGAGGTCTAAAGACATCTCTGGGCCCACTTCTTTCCACAAAAAGCAAGGGTGTTCTTCACAGTGCCCCTGATACAGGATAAACCCAGTAGGGATGGCAGAAGGCAGGTTGGCCTCGTTTTCCACATTCCGAATCTGTAGCCACCCGCCCAAGAGGGGAAAAAAAAAACCTTAAACCAGTGCATTAATGGTGGAAGATGGTCCTGGATATGAATCCCCTATTTCTAGGGACTGGGAATGACTGCAACCTAGAGTACCCTCCAAAGAGACCCATTTAGTGTCCAGTGCAGACTTAAAGCGAGGCCCATAAAGGCGAAAGGGAAGTAACTAGCTTAGTGGACACTTGGTCTGCCCAGACCACACGTAGGACGGCAGATGGCCCCTCACCCCGGGTATTCTGGCCCTGGTAGACAAGCGTACACTTCCTGGAGGCCGACTGAAAAGGTCCGGAAGGAAGAGGTCAAGCCCGAAAACATCAATCACAGCCTGGCATGATGAAGCAGGCGTGTAAACAGGAGGGCACTGAGAACTGGCCAAGACCAAGAATGACCCAATGCAAAGACTGACCTGGACCTCAGGAAGCACTAGAACTGCTTCACCCTGACCTAGCCACAGCCTCTCTTGACAGCTACCAGCTAGTCCAAGGAGAAGGCAGTGTGGGAATTCAGTGGGCTCCAGGTGCCCCTCTACCACTGCTGCCCAGAAGCTCTAGACACTGAAACTCCCACCCAGTCAGTGCTCAACATAGAACATTCATCCTTAACTCTTGTGGTACCCTCTCCAGGTAGCTCCCATTAGGAATAGCCAAAGACAAAAAGATTAAAGTGTGTGGGGGGGGTGAAACCTACGTGTGTGTATACATTATACATACAGGTTACTCATATGTGTACGTGTGCACATGTGCATATACATGACTATGCAGGTATAAAAGTAGACACCTGCTGTATGTGCACATGTGGAATTAACATGTAACCTATAAGCCGGTATGTTTATATGTGTGTGTTCATATGTATGTGTATATGTATGCGTATATTTATGTATGGTCTGGCAAACTGTGTGAGCTTCCATGTGTATGTGTGTAACAAGGAATACATATTTGAAAGTACACCTGCTGTATGTTCACTTGTGTCTCTGTGTGTATACTTGTGTGTGCATATGAAAGCGTGAACTGTAAGCTTTTGTGTATACATAGATGAAAGTACTTACATGCCCAGTGTATGGGTATGTGCTGGTAGGCATGTGAGGGAATGTGTTGGGACAAATGTTTTCTGGGAAAAATTTTGCCATGGGGCAGCTGCTAGCCTTCAGCCACACTTGGTTACGTGTGAATACCCAAGAAAGTGCACAAATTTCTTATAGGAGCTTCTAGCCTCCATCCTGTCCTGTTTCCCTGAGGGTGGGGATGCCAAGGCAGTGGACATTTGTGTTGTTCGGGCCTGGGTCTAGGTCCCCAAGAAGGGGTTTGGTTATCTCTCATATTGGGGTTTCCATGTCACCCCTCGAGGTGAACTTGCTCTGAGTAGCCAACACCGCAGCCTTGACCAGTACTCCTCATTTGCAGAGCAGGCCACAGCCTGCCTCTCTTTTACTGTAACCTAAATGAGGGTTTCTGACAGATTCTGTATGGTCAGGGTTTCTGGGGAAAGGAGGGTGCCTGTTCTTCACACCATAAAACCTCAGCTCAGGGTATCCCAGGCTCTTGTATCCACGACAGCTCTGGGGGTAGGATGTGGGGTCACACACACAAGGCAGGATACACTGTGTGGACCATATAGGACAGATGCAAACCTCTTTCCCACATTCCCTAGAGCTGAGACAGCTATGGCCTACCCAGGTCTAGGGGAGGAGTACTCTGGCGGCTGGTCTGCCCAGGTCAGGTGTACGTGCCCCTCTGCCCTGGAGGGTCTGAGCCCAGGCTCAACTCTCCAAGAGAAAACTAGTGAAGGGGCGGCTACTCTTCCCGTCTACACTGCCCGCCATGCCCACATAGGAAGAGACATCTCTCACACCAAGGAGCTGGCTACGGCACTGGCCCTAGGGGACCAAGGGGCACATAGTGTGACACCAGTTCTCAACCAGGAGCCTAGCAGAGGCACCCTGAGGTGCAGTCCCTAGAAGCCGAGACATGGAGGACATGGAGGCCACATCAGATAGCAGACACAGCTCCCAGATGCCCAGGTCCCTCACAGAGACATGACCTCAAGCTCTCCTCAGGGATGGGGTGCCTCCTGCTGAGTTTAGGCCCCAAGCTGCTTCTACCCCTTCTAGAACACTTAAAAGGGGGGTGGGGGAGAAGTGGGTAGAGCTCTTCCCAGGCTCAAGTTCTCCAGCCCTTGACCTCACTGACCAGGACGGCTGTTGCCTCATGGAGACTGGGGTCCCTAAATGCTATATCATTGGGTGCCAGACACCCCTGTGCCAGATGTTGCAGGACCACAGCTGAGGGTTCTACCTTGTCTCCCTCTAGAGCTGGCTGCCACACGGTCCTAGATGGCCCACTCACAAGATGGACAGAGTCCTGCTCACCAGAGTAGAGGACAAGGTGTTCCCAATTCCCCAAAACACTCAGAGGCCACAGCCAAGGGACCTAGAGTGACTGAATAACTGTGGATGGCCAGCTTCCGTGGGAAGGATCCTTGACCAGGCACAGAGGCCATGCTCTCATGTAGAAAGAGCTGGCAGTTTGACGATGTCATGTCATCCAGCCCTGCCTGGATCTGTAGAGCCAAGTGCTGAGGACAGTGCTGGTCTGTTCACCAGATGGTTCTCTTGACATACTGGCTACAGCCTGGAAACCAGCGCCATACCAGGAAAAAGTGAGGCCATGAAGTGCCAAGCCAGACCTCCCAGGCTACAGTGCCAGGAGGAGGCAGCCAGAACCTCCCACAGAACCCCCTTCCAGAAAAAGGCTGTGAGCTGGGTCCTCCCCAAAGAGGTGGAAGCCAGGGGTGGGGGCCCAAGGGTCAGTTCTAAGCTCCAAGTTGATCCCTAAGGACTCATTCCTTCCTCAACTCCAGGAAAAGGGTCCTGATCTAAGGGCGGCTCCCATGGAAGGGTCCACAGAACCTGGAAGAGGAAGATGCTGGCCAGCAGCTCTCTAGCTAGATGCCCAGGGATGAGGGGCATTTCCTAGCCACACACACACAGTGGGCCTGGTAATGCTTTACTGGGGCAGTCAGGAACTGGGGGATAAGCAGTCAGGTGTGATAGTGGGCCATTCCCAGCGACCTACGATACCTCCTGAGCTTCCAGCCTATGCTGGGAGACCCCTGGGAATCAGGACTGGCCATCAGCAGCAGACAGGCCTACTTCACCGCTCCCTCCCACGTACTTGATCCCAGCCACACCCCCACTCACAGGTGCCACCATCCCTCTGCTGGTCCTCACTCACAGGGTGATATCTGTCTTCCAAGAAGACTGAGCAGGGCTAGCTTTGCTCTCATAGGTAGCTCCTGGGGCCTCCAGGGCCCCGCCTCAATCTCCCCCTCTTGGTTGGAAAAGAACTTCTATAAAATGGCTACCATGTGTGCCAAGGAGCCCTGCCTCATCTCCACTCCACATGAGCCCTGACAGCCAGATCCCACAAGCATCCCCTCAATCCACACTACTCTATGACATTCTGTCACATCAGGAGAGGCCCTGGAACTCCAGCTCCAAATCAGGACCAAGAGTGGGTATGGCACGGGGCCCAGCAGCCCAGCCCAGTCTCACTTCCTGGGCCCCGCCCAACCCACATCTCCAAAGGGGCCCTCGCCAGTGGCAGAGCGTGGGGGAGGCCCACATGGTGTGCAGAGGTCTGAGTCTGTGTCAGACTCCCCCTCCGCGATGTAGGGCCTGACCTTGGCACACGGCGCCACGGCTGCGTAACAGCTGCCTAGAGCATCCAGATTCTCCTTGGACTGGGAGATACTGAAGCCACTGAAAGAGCGCTCCAGCTCTTCATGGTCCACAGATGGGATGGAGATGGAGGTGTCGCTATCCCGCAGGGCACCCTCAGGGGGCCTACAGGTTGGGGCGCTCTCCAGCCTCAGGAACTCGGTACTGGCCCGGTTGCCCCCACTGTAGGCAGACAGCGACCGCTCATGCGCAGGAGGTGGTGGGATGCGTACCAGTGAGCCATGGTCTCCCACAGGGGAGGTGCCGTGGCGCTGGTGGCTGTGCTGCCATGAGGTGGACGGAGGACACTGGGCAGGGGGCATGGCTGGGGGTGCAGCGTAGTTCCTCTGTCCTGTAGAACTGGTGGAGCGGACGATCTTAATGATACAGCCATGCTTGTCCGCATGCTCACGGCTGTCCTCTGGACTGTGGTACGGTGGTGCCGGCTCAGGCTCCTTGGCCCCAAAATAGGCCTCTGTCTCTGCTGGTGGGATGCCCATTCGCTGCGTATAGATGCTCACCAGAAAGTCTATCTTCTTTTCCATGGACAAGACCTGTAAGAGTCGAAGCTGTTGGCTGCGCTTTTGAGGAGAGGACCCAGGATGCACCCAGGTGAGAAGGGGCAAAGGAAGGAACTCGGGAACTGCCCTTTCTCTACCCCAGACTTCCAACAGCTCAACCTCTGAGCTTAGTGTGTGTCTGAGCTCAGGTCAGCTCACAGAGGGACTCATGTGGGAGCTCCTAAGGATCCATTTCCAGCAGATTAGTATTGGGCAAGGAAAAGAGAAGGGGAAGAGGTAGGCCGTGTGCAACTTCTGGCAACTTTCTGTTGCATCTACCCTTATGCCTGGGCTACTCAGCAGCCACGGGTAAACAAAATGAGAGAGAGAGAGAGAGAGAGAGAGAGAGAGAGAGAGAGAGAGAGCGCAGAGGTCATTCCCCTCCCAAGCTTCTCCCACCTGTTTCTCCACCTTCCCAAGCCGTCCCATCATGCTGGGGTCTTCGGGCAGCTCCGTCTCTGCTGGGCCTTTGGTGCGGTCCTTGTCCGTTATTGTTGGGCCCCGCCCCACAATCTGGTCCACTCTAGCGGGAATAGAGACCCAGCCCCCAAGTATGAGTTTGGGAGGGTGTGGCCAGGCCCCTGCCCCTTCTTCCTGGGCTAACCCGCAGCCCCCCAGATCTGAGCTCTGAGTCCTATCCAGAGCCGACCGGGGGGCAGCAGGTGCCAGGCAGATGGACACTGGTGCCTCATGACCTCAGGCTGCCTCCTGACACCTTGGGTCCTGTTTCCTATCTGTTCCATCCCCATGGGATCTGGCACATTAACAAGGAGTAAAGGGAAGTGTCTCCCTAGGGCCCTCCCTAGCATGGCTCCAACCCCATTGGTCTTGCCTCACAGCTCTTCCCAGACCTGGGATTCACTGGTCTCACAGCATACTTAGGCCCAAGGGGTCAGAGGTGGTTGGTTGGTGGGCATCTAACCAAGTGATCAGAGTAGGGGAGGTTGTGCCTTTGCCCAAGTAGCCACCCCCTGCGAGCTTTACTCCCACATTAATGTGCCATGGAGTTCCTTGGACCCCAATGGGTATGACAGGGACAGTGTTAAATGTCTGCAGCAAGGACAACAGAAGCAGGGAGGAAGTGAGTGTCAGCTCCATGCATCAGAAGGGAGAAGGAAACAAGAGCCACATAGGAATGGTCAAAGCACAACCAGGGGAGAGACGAACACTGCCAACCAGGGATTTGTGAGGTGGTAGGGTTGGGGATATATGCACACAAATGTGCTAATGCATGCATGCAAGTGTGATGCATGTGTACTCACGTGTGTGTGTGGGGTAGACTCGCACCCATGTGAATGAATGTGTGTGCTTGTAAAGTGCTGGGTGAGATGAGAAACTCAACTGAGTTGATCAGTAATGATAGCATAATACCAACAAGAAGGGAAGAAGTTCCTTTGTCCTCAGGGGATGGGGGTTCCTATCTGCCCAGTGTGGCACCAGCAGATCCAGGGCATGTTATGCAAGCATGTAGAGCTGAGGCGAGGCTGGCAGGTGTCACGAGAGTGAGCATGGGCTGGGAGCTGCAGACCACTTAGAAATAAAGATCCTGTGAAGAACCTAGAAGCCCACTGTATCCAGAGTATGGCTGAGCAGGACTTCTCAAGCTGAGCTGTGTAGCCCCACACATAAAGCACACGCCAGCAGGTACATGGCATCAGGTTCTCCCTTCACTTTATACAAACTGGGGTGCCCTACCTTCTCTTTTGGCAACTCCAGAGGGAGGTGCAGGCTTGCATCAGCCAGGGGCAGCCTTGGCATGCTCCACTGGACTCATGCTGGGCTCATGCAAAGGAGGGTGGGAGGGATGGCAGGGGGGACCTTCTGGCTCCAAGCAGATGTCAGTGACAATGGCAAGGGAACAGGTTCCCTGTTGTCCCACTGTCCACACAGTCCAGGCACAGATGCACAGCCCCTTCACCCCTGCCACATGATGAGCCATCTGCCCAGCGGATCTCAGGGGTGGGCTTCAAGTTACTGCAAGGTAGTCAGACAGGGGTCCTCTGCAGACCTGTGCCATCTCCTCCCCCAAGGTTCAGGCTGGGGCATCAGACTCAACCCCCAGGTGCTGCTCTCCTCTTGGGTGAGAGAGCAACTATGCCGTAAGACCTCTACTGTGTGTGTGTCTGTCTATCACCCTGCTCCAACACAGGAGAAAGCAGAGAGGGCTCTGAGGTCTGCAGGGCCTTCCCAGCCCACGCCTGGATGGCCAGTTACCACGACTTTCAGAAAGACCCAGGGGACAAAATGGGCTTTGGTCTCATTGGCAGATACTGTCATGGGCCACTCTTAGTCTGGAAGCCATCTGACCATCTCATTGCCTGCTCCCCCAGGGTCCCTCTCTCATGGGTTGGTATGCTCATCACATTGATCTTTGTGCTCATGAGCAGCAGCCCTGGCCCAAAAGGACAGAAGCTACATCTGCCAGTTTCAATTTCCCAAACTCTCTGAGCTGCCCAGAGCTCTTCTGCCCCCAGCTGACAGACAGGGCAGTGTCTACCTGCCCTCTCTGAGCCTGCTCCTGAGAGCTTTAATTTTGCTGGGCAATCAGGCCCACCAGAGGGAGACAGGGAATTATCTGAGTGGTCACAGGGTAATCAGGTCTTGAAGTCTCTATTAACCACACCAGAGCTGGCTTTTGTCATCTGACTGTTCCCTGGCCCCCATCTGTCATCTGTCAATCAACTGAAGGGCGGGATAAGGTAGGCTGCCATCTTCCTTCCTTCCTTTTTTAAAAGATGGTTTTATTTATTATGTATACAGTATTCTGCCTGCATGCCTGCAAGCCAGAAGAGGACACCAGATCTCATTTTAGATGGTTGTGAGCCACCATGTGGTTGCTGGGAATTGAACTCAGGACCTCTGGAAGAGCAGCCAGTGCTCCTAACCTCTGAGCCATCTCTCCAGCCCGCTGCCATCTTTCTTATCAATGACATCAATGATAGTGGTGGTAACCTGAATAACACCAGAACTGACAGAGTCAGCTTGGTGGTGGGTGTACTATGGGGGATTTTCTCATTTATTTCTGCCCCCTGCGGTGCTGGGAAATGAACCTAGGGCCTTACACATGCCAAACAAGTGCTCTAGCACCAAGCTACATCCCCAGTGTTCACTATTCTTCAGAACAACCTAGGGGGCAGGTGCATCTAACATCTAAGGAAGTAACCCAGGAAAGTAACCCCGTCTGCTCTAGTCTACACAGAGTCAAGGTGTGCACGGTGGTCACCCCAGCAATGGGCAGGGATGAGTCTGAGCTGGTCAAGGGCACAATGTCCTCTGCTTCAGTAGCCTCACCAGATAGACAGAAAGTCCATGGAAAGACAATCCCTGTAGATGGAAGACTCGGAGCACTACCTAACAGCCCTGGCAAAGGGTAGCCTTTTCTCTAACGTGCCCTGTAGGAAGAGAGAGAACCCGAATGTCCCCTGCCCTGTGGAAAGGAAGGTGCAAGCTGCTGCCATCATGCGGCCCAGAGCAAAGGGGCTGGCCATTCACAGAGGGTTGGGAGGAGGCAGTGCATCCTAACCTAGGTGAGTACTGGGGTGACTCTCTCGAAGGGGCCGTGGGTCCTTTGGTAGGGTACTTCTTGTGCCGGGGAGTTGAAGGGGGTGGGGGGCCCACAATCATATCTATCCTGGCAGCATAAACAAGAAGAGAGACACCAGCAAAACACATCATAAACAACCCAAGGTGACTTGCTGGGCATGCACAGAAACATGGAATAACTTGACAATAGTGATTCTTCCGAAAAACATGCTCAAAACAGAACAGTAGACCCACACTCTGGCCCCTCACATCTGTCAGGCTTCTCCCAATTCCCAAGAACTGTCCAGCCTGCCCACTGAACCTCAGGCGGAGTACAGGATGGATGGGTGCTGGGCGCCAAGTCCCACAAAGAGACTCCACAGCGGCAGAGCAACTGAAGTCTGCGTCAGGGGCCAGAAGCACAGGGCTCCTCATTGGCGTCTGTTTCCCAGACAGGAAGAGAGGGAGCCTGGACCTGTGGGATGAAAGACTGTGGAGCAGATAGTTGTGGGGATGGGCATGGTATTCAGCTGGAGGCTGGGGATTCTCACTCACCCACGTGCAGCACATATAGAGCTTCTGCTCTGGGAAAGTCAGAGGGGCCCAGACTGAGCTGGGGATACCTGCCTGGCCTCCACCTATGAGAGCAGCTCATGGCCTAGAAGCCCTACTATCCTGACTCCTCCCATTGCTGCAACTTTCTTTGGCCCCAAGGAATCCCCCAGGGCTGTCTTTATGCTCCTTACTCTCTGTCTAACCAAAACCCACGCTCCATTTCCAGGACTGGAAAGCAGGGTGTGCCCCCCTTTAGGAGACGTTCCTCATAAGTATCACAAACACACACATGTATGCTAAGGATGTATGCCTAGAAACATGGGGAGTGGGGACATGCTGGAACAGTTATGGACACGGTCTGTGCATATACCTGTGTGCTCCTGCACATGGGGAATGCACACTTGTATGTGTGCATCTGAGGATGTGTTCCTGTGAGCATGTTGTAGGTAGGTTGAAACAATCATAGACATGTGTCTGTATGTGTACATCTGCATATGTTGAAGGCATGTGTATGTGTGGGTGGACTCAGGCCTTACTCGTGTGTTTACGATGCATGTGTATATATCTTCTGGAGTAAGCAAGCCTATTCTCACACGCAGATAAGCCAGTGGTTGCCTCTGATGTGCTCCCTACTCAGCAAGTAGGACCCCATCATGAGGAAGCAGATGGCTGTTTCTTGGAGGAACAGCTCCAGGGTCCCCAGCCACTGACTGGCAGGACCCACAAGAATCCCTGTGTTTCCATTTCTTCACAGAAACACTTCCATCTCAGCACATATGTGCACACCACACACATGCACACATATTCATCAACAGACATATGCATATACACAGCACAGCACATGGTGCTCGTGCATACGCCCACACATCATATGCACATGTTTGCACACATATATGCACACATGCATGCACTTGTGCATGCACATGAGTATATCCAGATGCCCACACACATACACATTCACACATGTGTGCACACATATATACATGTGGACACACACACATACACACACATGCCACCACAGTGTAGGTGAGTGGGAGAGAAAAGGGAGGGGCGGAAAAAATACTAAAGACAGACAGATAGTGTGAAAACACAGCAGAAAGCAACAAGAAGCCAACAAGGTGGGAAGAGACCTCCAATGGTGGCACTGGCCCTGTTCTGCACACCTGTCACCCAGCCCTTGGTGCCCCTTGTGCCACGCCTGGTTTTGTCCCGGAGGGCCCTGTTCATGCCCAGACTGGACAGGCAGGGACTCTTGCCTGGACTGCAGGCTCTTGATGCGGGACAACATGTCCAAGTGTCCAGCTGAGTACTGTTCGATGACATCCATCACATCATAGGGGCGCAGACTCTCTTTGAATTTTCGCTTAGACACCAAGAACCGCATGACACTGCAGAGATGGAGAGATCATGAATTCTAGACAGAGGCTATACTGCCAGGGGCCAGTTCCCATATCCACCTGCCTGTCACCCTCAAGACCACAATTCCTTAGAAGTAGTACCCATTCTCATCTGGGACACCTACTCACCCTTCCCCACCATGGCCAGTCACTGCTTAACCTCAAGACAGGTCCCATCCTCCTTGGAGCACTGGTATGGGGAAGCTGTTATTTGTCTGAAAAACCCTCCTGCCCTTGGCCTCTATCTCATCCATACAGTCAGGGTCTGTGCTCTCGGGTTCGGGCAGCTCCACCAGGGCTCCCTGGCCCTCTGGGCACAAGTTGACGGATAGAGGAGCTAGAATGGACAGGGGCTCCCCTCAGGACTCTCTGTGCTTTCCCAGTAGTTGTGGCCTTTGGTGACTCGGTAAGACCTCGTGAGGTCACTGCACAGGGCCTTCTCAGGCAGACTGGACAAGGGTCCCTCACCATACAGCTCTGATGCTGACTTTGAGGCCAGGGGTGAGATCCTCGGTCACAAACTCGCAGTTACAGCTCTTGTTATCCTCCACGATGTCCTCCCCGGGGAGACTTGCTTCTGGGTGGAAGGGAGGGCAGACTATGAGCAGACAACCAGAGGGCCTACTCAGGTTCCCCCACACCCCTTCAATGCCTCTGCTACACGGCAGTACCCACCACTGCCTCTCGGCAACTCTTCTTTCTCAGTCTCTTCTCCATTAGCTATCACCTGCACAAAACGAGGGTTTAAAAGGACATCCCTGCCAACAGATGAATGGATGACCACACCGTGGTCACTGTTCAGCCAAGAAATGAATGAAGCTATAACACTTGACAATACGGGTGATCCTTGGAGACACCACGCTCAGTGTGAAATAAATGGCCACCATGGACCATATGAGGCTCAATATCATGCATGTGGCATGCACAGACTGGAGGTAGAGAGAAGCAGGTATGGCGTCCTGTGCTGGAGAGGGCTGGGGTGATACCTAGAGGGTTCAGGGCTTCTCCATTATCTGCAGAGGTCGTACCACAAGTGATGGAATTTACAAGACGCCAGTGAATGATGTGTGTTAAAGTGGATCATCTTACATGATGTCGCTTAAAAGAGTAAGAGTGGGGGCTTCCTGCTCCAAGAGACTTCCATTTGTACCATATAGCCAAGTGCTAATGTCCACCCCCCCCCCCCAGCAGCCTTGGGCAGGTGGTGCTGACCTTCTGAGTTCTGCCGGGATGCAGCACCCTTGATACGAAAAGCCTGGCGTGCACGGTTGCGATCACCAAAGCTCCAGCTCTTGGGCACCTTGCTTGGGCTGTCGTCGAGACTCTGATCAGCACTGGGGGATCGCCGGACCGTCTGGGCCTGGGGAGACCCCTTCCCCTTGGCAGCCACGCCTCGGGGGCTGGAGAAGACACGATCTTTCAAACTGACCTTCTGACTGTTCCCAGGATAACCATTCAGCAGACAGAACAGGCAGACAGACAGACAGACGACAGACAGAAAAACAGCAAGAGAAATCACTCTGGAAATAACAAGTCATGTCTCTTTGAGACTGATACCCCCCACCCCACCCCCAAGCTAGGAGGGAGGTGCAAGTCCAAAGAGGAACCGACCACGCCGGGAATGGGGAGCAGTGGCTGGTGAAGCACGGGGGAGAGGTGAGGTGCTGCACAGGTGTGGCCAGACCTGGGGAAGCAACGGCGGGACTCCTGAATCATCCAGCTATCACCACAAGGTGCCAGAGCTCTCTCCACACTGTCCTGTCCGCTTCCCCAAATGACTCTTAGACACATCCTCATACACCTGAGACTGGCCGCTTCCCTGGACCTTGTCTGGACTGGCCCAGCCAACAGCGTTCCCCGTTGCCTGTGCCAACTGCCCCTGGAGTGTCTCCACCATCATCCTGCCACTTCCCTCTCTTCCAGGATCACCAGAAATCAGGGCTACAACTAACACGTCTAGTTCCACCTTGGCTCCAGCCTTTTCTGTGAGTTCCAGAGGCTGCCTGGCCTCTATGTGGGACTGATGCCCAAAACTGTCTGGTCTCTGGGCTTCAGACTCCTCCCTAGGCTGATCCTAGCAGGACATCAGGGATGAGGGTACTCTGAGGCTAGGCTTCTGCTGTCACGGGACCGGCTGTCCCAAGCCTCGGCCGGCCCCAGGCGGTAGCTGTAGAAATGAAGAGAAGATTGTCAGCCCCTGCCCAAAGTTCTTTCCCACTAGGCTGCTGTTTCCAGGCTCTAGAAGGTCCTAGAACCTCCCTCACCCTGTGTTTCTTCATAATCCAGAGTTCAGCAGCTCACTGTGATCTAGATGTCAAGAAACAGAGAGTCTGTGACTAGGTTGCTCCAGACTGAGGTGACCTCCACCACTACTCTGGGGGCAGCATGCCTCAGTCCAGGCCAGTTACTTTTCCTACTGATGACCCCACCGTAACTCCAGAGGCAGAAGGCAGCGAGTCTCTTGTGAAGTGGGACTCACATGCTCAGCCACATAGGAGTCACAGGACTCCAGACAGGGCCCATGCCAATACCTAACAGAGCACTAAGCGTAACTCCAAGGAAGTTTCAGTATTCAGTGTTGCTCATCAATGCCTCAGATTCCAACTTCACACCCAGCCACAGTGCCCCACCATGGGCCACCAGCCAGAGACATGTTCAGCAGACAGAGCAGAGCTGACTATTGCAGAGAAGCCACCATGCAAAGTCCATCCACTTTTTACTGTGGATGGAGCTAGTGGCCCTCTCCACCCCACTGGGACAGTAAGTGGCTTGGGAGACCATCCTTGCCTGCTCAAACTTTCTAAAGAAGAAGGAGAAAGAATAGGACATCAAGGGACAAAACCTTCAAAATGTCCTGTGTCCTGGGGGCATCAGGAGCAGGGGCATCTGCTAGCTTTGGAAAATGGCCCTGAGTCCAGACTTCTGTGTTTCACTGAAATACTGGCAGCCACACATAGGCAGTTGGTGGCCAGGGACACCCAGAATCCAGATGGCTCTCTGACCCTTTTCTAAAGATAAAAGTCTAGTTGGGGCTAAGGAAAACTGGATATTCTAGGGTCTGTGGCTTCCATAATGTTCTCTCCTCCTGTGGGCCCCTCTATCAAAGGAACTATCGAAGACCCAAGACAATGTGTCTCTCATGGTCCACCCAGGGCAGACAGGGTAGGAGCTAGGCTGGGGGAGCTCTTATTTCCCACTATCACTCAGGGGCTCTTCCTCTATCCCTCCCCACCCCCACCCCAGCTCACACACTGAAGGAAGGGAAATGAGTCACCGCTAAGCAGCCTGGCTTTGATCATCCTGAATCAAGTTACAGAGCTGCCTTCCTGCTGGGGTCCCAAGAGTCACTCAATGTTGCAACAATTTATAATCAGTGTGCATTTAACTCCGGCTGTCAGTCAGACTGAGCTGGTGAGGTCAAGTCAGGCTCTCCCTGACTCCCGACCCCTGACTCCTGTTACATCAAGAGGGACTTAAACAGGTCCCTTCGGGCAGATTACCCAAAGTCAGCCCCTTTTCCTTCCTAGTAGTGATTTCTTCCACAGCCACCAAGAGAAGTTATCAACCACACAAATGCAGGCCTGGACTCCAGCCCTACACAGGGCTGCAGCCCACGGCAGAGGTATAGCAGCCAGGAAAGAGACCCCCACCCTTAATCTTGGTTCTTCAGTCTCCAGCTCTTCACGCTGTCTCGTCCTTAGCAGGAGGCCCTGACAGAAAGGAACAAAGTGGATTGCCGTTGCCAGGACATTCGGTCCCCACACAGCCTTCCACATCTCTAGGGCCTGGATAGAGGCATGGAGTCTAAGGACTCCCTCTTACCTCCCAAGTCACCAAGCCAAGATCAAAGCAAACATCAGGGAGGAGGCTCTCCAGAGCGACCCCAGGAGCCCCAGCAAGAGAGCCCAGGAACAGAACTACCCAGTGTGTGACAGGCATGACATCAGCCAGGAATCATTTCAGGAAGACTGGGGAAGCAAGCAAACCCCAGCCTCTTTCTTCCTGTCACCCTCCCCAGAGTTAAAACTCAAAAGGAAACCAGCCATGAGATGGTCCTCGCCCTAGTCGGTGCAATGGGGACCCAGACTCAGCAATGCAGGGAGCCAGCATCCATAGAGAACTGCCCAGCCTGGACTGGACTGAGGATGCCCAAGAGACAGTCTACAAAAACACATAGGGCAAGGCAGACTTCGGCTGGGCTCCTGCAGGCCCATCCCAGCCCTCCTGGTCTTCAGGCAGCCTGACCTTAGCCTCTGCCATGAAGGTCCAACCTGTGGCCAGAAGCACCTGGACACAAATGCCATGGGCAAGCAAGGAAGTTTCAGCCAGGGCCTCAGCAGGCTGCCTCGCAGGGCAGTCCAGACACCCAGCTCCCTGTCTACAGCTGCAACATTCTCCCCACAAGCACCCACCTCCAGCACACAGAGTCAGCAGAGAGGACCGTGGGGTGTGGAGGTGGCCTTCAAGCCCCTCTCCCAGTGGAGAAGGACACGGAGCATGCACGGGTGCAAATGCACAGCATGCTGCTCGGCACGGCCGGCCACATGCACACAATGGGGGCTCCCCATGCGGGGGCCACCACAGCTGCCTGCATATGGCTGGGTTGTACCAGCCAGGAAAGGGACAGGCACGGGAGGGCAACCAGGAGGCAGGGGCCCCAGAGCAAGCAGGACAGATGCCTTCACATGTGGACAACAGACAGGGGGATGGGACGGAAAAGGTGTAGTCAAGGTGCAAAGGGTTAGGAGGCTTTTCACTATCCCGTTTCCAGTCTTCCCTAATCCAGGCCTGCAAGTCAGAAGGGGGAGACATGGCCTTTGGCTTTTGGGGGTCCTGAAGGGCCCAGAACACAGCGAGCTGCCTCCCTCAGTGAGGTGCCGGCTAAGGTTCGGTCCTTAATGCCTAGTAGAGGTACCAGAGTGGCCGGCCCCAGAGGAAATGTTCCTTGAAGGACATTGGACTGTTTCTAGAGCAGTAACCCTGGCCAGCCAGCCCCCTGCTCTGACAGGAGGGGGCTCTATCTAGAGTCAGAGGCCAGGCGCCCAGCTCTGCCCTGTGCTTAGGCATCAGAGGACTCAGAGTTGGGTGGGCACTGTGCCGGCTCATCCTGAACCTCTAGTAAGCAGGGAGGGCAGGAGCGTGCAGCGTGGTCAGTCCGTGCGAGCATTGCGTGGTACCTAGAGTGTCCGGGGCAGCATCCACACAGGCACCCTCGGCACGGTCTGCCTTTACTGGAAATGAGGAGAGCATAGTTAGTCCCGGGGGCGGCAACAGGACCGGAACAGAGAGCAGGTAAATGAGGCACTGTGACCACCCGGGGAGTTCAGGCTCACAGTCCTCCAGCCGCATATTTGCGCCTGAGCAGGGACAGAGAGAAAAGGGAGCGCGCGAAAGTCTTCCGCGGCCTGGGAAAGAAAACCATTTTCTATTTTTGGAGAAAAAGAACCCCTGTGGTTTTCCTCCAAAAATACCTTTTCCTTCCAAAGCCAGAGAGTGTGGGTTCATGTTTTAAGAGATGTATTATTTTTTGCTATATTCATGCCAACAAAAATAATAATAATCCATGAACCAAGATGTCGCAGGAGGCCAGATGTGGATGGAGATAGTCTGGGATGTGACCGCTGCAAAGCATGCGCGTTTTAGGGAGGGGAAAAAATGTGCAGTTTAGCTTAACAAACCGAACGGCAAGCGGCGAGGTTTTGCCACACCAGCCTATGGCCCTGTTGGCAGTGGACTTTGATTTATCCAGGAGGCAATGGCTGCCCCAATTAGAAGCAAGCTCAAGAAAGGAGGAGGCTTGGGGACACACTCGTATTTAGGACTAACCAAGTACATTCATCTGGGATTCCACGAGTCCACCTTATTGCGATGGCCTGGGCCAACAGAGCTCCAAAGAGGTACCTGAGATACCTTAGCAAAATCCTAGCAAACAATGGCCCTTTCCAAGAATCCCTTCAAATTCTTGAGATTTGTTTTGCATTAGAACATGCAAAAAAATAAGTAAAAAAGGAAGAAAAAAGAAAGAAAGAAACAAAGAAGGAAGGAAGGAAGGAAGGAAGGAAGGGAGGGAGGGAGGGAGGGAGGAAGGAAGGAAGGAAGGAAGGAAGGAAGGAAGGAAGGAAGGAAGTGGAAAAGTAAGAAGGAGGAAACTGGTGTCGAAGGCGAGCCTGGTCTACAGAGTGAGTTTCAGGACAGCAAGGGCTATGCAGAGACCCTGTCCTGAAAAACCAAAAAGAAAAAGGAAAAGGGGAAAAAAAGAAAAAGAGAAAATTACAAAAACACTTTTTTCTCTCCAGGCCTTCTTCCTGTGTAGTTAGTTACAGCAGCGCTTTGCAAACTGTGCACCTGAGGAAACCAGCCTAAAGGACCGTCTCAAATCAGAAACAAGCCCCAGAAAGCCACTTCCCTTTATGTATTTATTCAAGCCACTTCCACTCTCAGCTTTGTGTCATTGATGCGTGAGCCTCTCCACTTAGGAACAAAGGACATATTTTGCTAACTGGTGTAAACAGAAATTAGAATTGGAGCTAGACTCTGGGGAGCAGGCTAGCCCCCAAACTGCTTGTACTTCTGTCCAGGCATCCACATACGTTTGGCACTCTAGGTAGACGAGCAGTTTCAGGTGCCTCACACACTCTCAGGATGTAGGACAAAGACTGGACACATCCTCACGACTTACTACAGGCTGCTGCTGTCAGGAGCATTCCCTATGACTTAACCCAGGGTTAAGTCAGTGAGCACCTAGGCCCTTGGGCCAGGGCCCCTATGTGAATTCCGAGAACAAAAGACAGAGGTGGTTCATTCCTAACACCTTTGACAAAAGTCCCTTTTGTTCCCCAGCTCTCTGGCTTCTCTGGTTCTGTAGTAGAGACCATCTCTGATAGTTGTGCTATCTAGTGGGGTAGCCATGGACCACTGAGACTCAGGAATGAATACCAACTGTGTCCATTTTAACAAATGATGCAAGTGGCTGGTCATTCCTGTCTGGAAAAACATGGTTTGAGAGCCTGACAAGATCTGAGGAAGAGGAAGCTTCTGTTCAGCCTTCCCTGATTGGTGGGTGCAGAGGGTGTGGCACTGTCCATTCCCTCGGACCCCGTTTTTTTCTGACCCACCAGCAAAGTGAAGCTCTGCCATATCTGTGAATAACTGGTTGATCTCAATCCCATGCAGATGCCAACTGGCCGGCCCACAAGGAACCCAAGTGGGGGAACAGATATGCCCACAGACACTGGCTCAGGCCAAACAGGGCAGATGGGCACCAAGACACACAGACACCTCCAACTGTGAAGAAGAGTGGATCCATGTGGACAAGAGAGGCAAAGCTGAGGTTAAGGGATCCTCTAGGCACAGAGTAGGAGACAATGAGGAAGAGGACAGGCCCACAAAGGACAGTCACAGCAAGTGCAGTCACAAGAAACACTGATACAGCACAGGCCTGAGCTCCCACTGGCCCTGGACCCCCCAACCCAGATGCCCCTAGTGAGTCCAGCCTAGTCACATGGGTCTCCTCAGGAGCCAACCCCTCATACACCTTTGTCCTGAGTCATAAGACACTGGGAAGGTATCTTCAGATAGTTGAGGAAGAAGCCCTGGGGTAGCACCACCCACGTGCCTAGAAAGACAATGCTAGCCAGTACAAATGCAAGGCAATGTCTAGAGCCCGTCAGAGCATGGCCATTGACTCCTGCTAGACTACAGCTAGTCGAGTCCAAGGATAGAGAGACTCTGGGGAACTAGGCATGCCCCCACACACTCAGCATTTCAAACAAGGCTCATTCCACTATTTTCACTTAAGCAGCAATTTCCTGCACACTTCCTATGTTCTTGACGCTAAAGAGGGGGTATAGCTGCTCCTGGCAGAGGCTAAAGATACCACTCCGCCCTCCATGACCTGGCCAGCAGGTGTACAACCCAATGAAGGCGTTGGGGTCTCCCTTGACAGAAACTGTTCCTCACTCGCTCCAACACTCAGCTTTCCAGGTGCCCCAACCTCCTTGAGGATCCCAGTGTCCGTGCAAAGGTCCTGCACACTCTTCCCAGGGATGGCCAATTGCTGCCCCAATTAAGTGTTTTGGAAGCAGGGCATCCTGGGAGGAGGACTGGGTTGGTGGGCGCTGGCCCTCAGGGAAGGGTGTGGAGGTACAGGCAGGCAGGGGCCACTGACACGCGGGGAAGACAGAGGAGTGGCAGGGTGGAGAGCGGGGGAACCATGGAACATACCGGAGAGCCGGGGGGGCTCCCGTGGGTCCTCACCTTGAGTCCTGCCTTCAGGGTCAGCACCTCATCCCAAAAGACAGAGCAGACGAGAAAGGGGCCCAAGAAGGGCAGTGACAGTGATTAAAAGCACTTGGGGGCAGCAAGATTTTCCAGATGGGGGCAGAAGAGGAAGAGAGAGAAAGAGAGAGGCTGAGACGAGGGTCGCGCAGGGTGTGCTAAAAGCTATGGCAACAAGCGCAAGAAACTGCGGAGGCCAGGCGCCTCCTGCGCAGCTCACTCCTATCACCACCAGGACAGTCTCGGTTCACCTGGGGCACAGCTGAGCGTCAGGCCAATCTCAGCCCTGGTGTCCACGATCAAAGGGACTCCTAGCCCTGGGGTCATCGGAAACAGTGCTGTACACGGAACAGACCAGAACAGCCCTGACGGACGGTGAGGAGGGAGAGCGGGTGCCCGTTGACAGCGAGGCTGCCAATGCTGGTTTACCCACACCAAGGCCAGGCGAGGCTGGTTCGCCTACCTTCACTTGTCAACAACCAAGACTACACTAGACTGCCCATCTCTCTCCAGCTAGCTTTCTTAGTGACCAGGGTTTCCCTTCATTGGTTGTCCGTTGAGCTGATTTGGGAAGCCAGTCTTTGCAACTTGAACAACCACCCATAAACTCTCCCTCTGTATGGGAGGGGAGGACGGTGTCCTTCTCCAGGGGATAGAGGACAGCTTCAGTCTAATTCTACCCCGCTCTGCACAAGAGCAGTTTTAAAAAAATATATTCTAGGTCACCCTGCTATCTGGGGAGAGGGGCACAAGAAGGCAGGCCTAAAATCTAGGGGCCATATTCACACTGCACCTTGTGGACAGGTCACTTGAGGGGAAGGACAACTCAGCCTAAAGGCCTTGGAGACCCAGGCAGATGCACACCAAACTCAAAATCTGTGAGGTAGTCTTTCTTTGCTTCTAAGTGCCAAGACAGCATGGTCTGTGTCCATCTTTACCAAGCGATGCTGACACTGGATCCCCATCTAACCAGCCTGAGCAAATGGAACCTCCCTGGGGGGCAGCAGGGGTCAGGAGAGGGAGCAGCGAGGTGGAAATCTCCATGGAGATATGAGAGGGGCAGGACACCTCAACCTCCTCAGGAGGACTCTGACTCTCTCCCACCACAGGGGGCTATCAGGATAGCAAGGTTCTCTTCCCCTCTGCCAGCATCTGGCTCGATATCCGCCCTCACTAGACTGGTGGGAAGGACACCTGCTTGAGGTTGTCAGCTGGGTCTGCAAATTCCAGCAAACATACCTGCAGGGTACACAGGAATCTCAGCCTCACAATCCCATGTGGGCAGTGGTGGGGGTGGGGGGAATGATCCCAAGAAGCCCCACCCTTTTGTTGCCCAAATCCCTGTGAGGAGGCTGTAACTGAGCAGGGACTCCGGATGTGTGTCAGGACACACTATCACACACTGCACACAGAAGCACACGCAGGGCCCCACGGTAGCCCTGCCCCATGGCATATGGGTGTACACAGAGGGAGCGAGGCGAGGTGGGCGCGGCACACACCAGGGCAGCTGGAGGCAGGAGGGACTGACCTTGGTGATGGCTCTGGTTGTGGCTCCTTCCTTCAAACAGAGGAAAAGAGAGTTAGTAGATACCCCCTCTGATAGTCCAATGGCACATCCAGTGGCCCAGGAATGGGGGCCCCCCTGGGCACCCTCTAGGATCCCTCCGAGCTACTCAGGCCCTGACACCTGTCCTCATGCCCACAGGTTGGGTTGTATGTTACAGGACCCAATGCAAAGAGCGGTCTTCCTAGAGTACCTGACAAGGCCTAGGAGCAAGGCTCAGGGGAAGAAAGGGACTCCCAACGGGACTGTGATCCTCTAACCCAGAGGGCTCTTTTATTTGAGATTAATGGATACTCATTTCAACAGGATCGTACCAGCATAATAATAAAATCACAAAAAGAAATGTGGTTGAAGAAAGCTCTTGACTTAATGGAATTTCCCTCCTTCCGTGCAGTTTTTCAGTGGTAGCAGGAATCAGACAAGGACTTTGTCGCGGTCTACGATCAGCGTTTGTTTCAAGGCCAGGAGTCATCCCCAGGCCCCGATCTACTTGTAGGCCTATGGTGGCCATTATCTGTCGTATTGGGATTGGTTCTTGCTGGTGGCAACACTGAGATGGTGGCTGGGTCTTATTTAGCGGAGAAGGGAAAATGAGGAGTGAGCCCTGGTGCCCTCAGGAAGGCAGTGCCAGGTCAGTCTTTTGTATGGCAAGGATTTGCCACTACATTTCCAAATGTTGTGCACAACAGCTATTGTACCTCTATGACGTTGGCAGAGACAATATAGCAGAGAGAAGCAGGGTTCAGACAGGTTCCTGCACCTGCTGAGGATAAGCCCAAGCCATTGCCGTTCCCTCCACAGCCTCACGAAGGAGTCGCACACCTGTAAGGGTCCAGTTTCGTTAACCCTGTGATCTTTCCAGCAGCGCGGCTGGGAGCTCAGAGAGCCGGAACAGCTAGGGGATGTGCACACTCCTACCCACCCTATCAACCCCAGCTACATCTGGGGGCAGTCAGACATTCGAGATTTCCTTTCTTGGCTCTGAGGCCGCAAATCCAAAGTTAAGGTGTGGGTAGCCACTCCTCCAGTGGACCAGGGAAATGGCTGCCTCTTCCAGCTTTGGGGGTTCCAGCTTATTTTGGTTAACAGCTTATTTCTTAAGTTTCTTCTTCCATCTTCCCCTTGTGTACATTCCAGCATTCTGGCATTCTGTGTCTCCTCTCCTGACCTTAATGCAGACAGTCACGTAGATGCTGAAGCTTTTAACTTACAACATGAACAAGGTCCTTTTTTCAAGTTAAGGTTATATTCACAGACATGTTTTGAGAGTTAGTGTTCATGCACCCATATTTGTGTGTGTGTGTGTGTGTGTGTGTGTGTGTAAGGTCTAGAATACACCACCCATCCCTAAATTCCCTAAATCTCAACCCTCTGCAGCATCAGCTTTGTTTAAAAAAAAATCACTTAATAAACCAAATGGTGGTGGCGCACGCCTTTAATCCCAGCACTCAGAAGGCAGAGGTAGGCGGATCTCTGTGAATTAAAAGCCAGCTTGGCCTTCAAGAGTTAGTTCCATGACATCTAGGGCTGTTACACAGAGAAACCCTGCCTTGAAAAAAAATCACTTACTTGTCTGTTAAACCACATAAATGAGGCTATCAAGACTCCAGTGTGGTTGTCCTGTGGGAAAGCCCTCTGCACACAGGCATGAGTCTCAAAAGTAAACCACTCATTTAGTGGGTGTGATGGCAGGACAGACACAGGGTGACGGTTTCTCTCAAAGTGGAAAGGCTGATAAAGGTTGATAAAGGGATCCCTGGCTATCAAAGTCTGAAATGCAAAGGGCAAATTCTACTCAGATTCACGAGTTAGTAAAAGCTAACCTCTGGTTCTGTTAATCTCCACTTCTGCTGCTCTGACGACAGTACGTGACTACTGGCATCCTTCCTGCTTGGAACAATCTACAGAATTGCCTTCATTTCACTTGTCCAAGCTAGCAGTGTCTCTGCTGCCCAGAACGTTGTGGTACCCCAAGGAGCTCCAAGAATGAACATTACTAGTCAGAGGGGTCCTCTGTGTAATCCTGATGTGGCCCAAGGTGGGTGCACTAACCAGTGTCTTAATGTGGAACACTGAAGTGACCCATGATAAAATTCATTGGTCAGGAGAGTTCACTGTAGAACCCTGAACAGGCTCAGCATGAATGACATCAGTCAGGAGAGTTCTCTGTGTGACCAAGAGGAAGTCCAGGAGTGGATTCCATTAGATATGAGCATCCCATTGAGAGCCTGAGGCAGCTGAGAGTGGATGTCATTCCATAGAAGAGGCCTTTGCACAGCTTTCCCGGATAAGCACCTTCAAGCCTGACTTCCATCAAGATGAGTGATTGGCCCTGATTCGCACACCGACTTTCTGCCTCGCCTGCAGCCTACGCTCTGTAGCTGAGCAGCCCCTCCCTGAACTGTTTCTTCTCAGGCAAAGCCCTTTGCTGTCCAGACAGGCTGAGAACATCCCAAATTTCCAAGTTCAAGTTTCTCATAGGGGTTCCTCTACTTCTTCTAAAATTTGACGATGAACATTAAGGAGAAATCAGGCATTAATCTTCAGTACTTGCAGGAAAACTCCTCCAATGGTTAACCATCCATATCTACTTCACGATTCTGCTTCCACCCAACAGGGAACAGTGCAGGCAAGCCTTTGACACTCCACTACAGGCACCATCTTTCTTAGTTTTCTCTGCTGACCTCCTTCTGAATGGTGCCAGAAGTACCATCAGTATCAATTCCCATTTTGTTTGGATAGGAAGTATCTCCTTGATCATATCATGGGCTAAAGTCTTGGTCCCCATACAACGGCATTATTGAGATGTGATTGAGTTAATCCATTCATGAGTTCATAGTGAACAGGCTATTAGCAGTACAGGGATTGCAGACAGAGACAGACCAGTGGAGTGTGCGTGTGAAGGGTGAGTCAGGTCATGCTCCTGGCTTCTTCCTGTCTCTCTCCTCTTCTTAGCCATCATAAGATGAACAGTTTTCATCCATCACGTCCTTCTGCCGTGATGGTTCTGTCTTCCCATATCCTACAAGCAATGGAACCAACCAACCATAAACCGAAACCTCACTTCTTGGGAGACCTCCCAGAGTGTCTGTAACACTAATACTTCCATTAGTCATCGCTTCAGGGTAGTGTGTGTTTGTTCTAACATGCACCTTGAACCTCTTCCAGCCCAGTCATTACCCCTTTGAAACTCACGGTCACGCTTTTGGGTATTTGTTACAACATCACCCCATTTTATAGACTCAAAATCTGAGTTGTCTGGAGCTTCAGCAACAGAACGTCATAATTGAGTTGTTGAACCCACAAAATGTTACTCTCTTATAGTCCTGGAGTAGAGATTCCAGACGTCAAGGTGTTGCTGCACGCTTCCACAAACTCCAGGAGGAAGGATCCACCTTGCCCCTCCCGGTAGCCTTGGCTTGTGGCTATATCACTACAGCCTTTGCCTGTGTCTTCATTTAGCTTCTTCCCTGTGACTTACTCCAAAGTTCCTTCTTCGTATACGGACATTATGAATGCATACAGGGTCCACTCAGAAAATCCAGGTGCAGAACGGTTGCTGGTCACATTAGCAGGTTCAGAAGTTCCCATATGTGTTTAGGAACAGGGCCTACTGTTAGCCCACTGCCGTCCTCCTGCCCTTCCAAAGGCTCTTCAGAGGCAGGAAGCTGCTGGGGTTCTAGCTAGCCCTATTGTCTACTTCTGTAGAGAGCAAGCCCTTCTTTATACCCATCACTGGTCCAAATACCGTGACTCACAGATTCTGTAATTAAAGAACCTACTGGTATTCTGACATGTTACCACCCAACACTGGGACACTACTTCCCACCAGGGTCCTAAGCATGAGCCATGAATGGAGCCATTCACTTTCAAACTCCACTCCTTGCCCCACTCACCTTGGGCCCGTCCCTCAACTAGCTACTCTCCTAAGAGCAGGATCCTCAATCCAGCCAGGAGACGCAGAAGTCACCGACATCATCAAGACTAGCAGTCAAGTATAGACCAGTCCTGGGGCTTTTCGTCACTAGCCAAGGTTCGAGAGTCTCTCGGGAGACTCAGGTTGCCCACTTGGCCCAGTGTTCCAGCCTTAGGAACAGACCCGTAGGAGGAGGCCCTGTGCTGACCTGAAAGTGAGTCCGGATTTGCTCTTGAGGTTCCTCAGCAGCTCCAGCTGGTTCAGAGGTGGGATGAGTCTGGGGCAAGAGAGGGAGAAGTGAGTAAGCCTAACCTTCCCAAGAGCTGAGGCTCAGCTCTGCACACCCACTCCACTTCACCCTTGGGAGCAGGCAGCAGATGCCAGAGCATGGGTGTAGAACACCTGAAGCTCTGAGTTCAGCGCCTCCACCTCTCCCAAGCTCCAGGGCTCTCTTTACTCTCTCTCTCTCTCTCTCTCCACTCATGGTGTTTCTGGGGCCTCAGACACAGGAAATGGTCAGGACCCAGCATGGACAGCAGGCCATAGGGGCCCAGCCCGTCAGCATGGAGTAGATCAAGAGAGCAGAGTTAGGATACCTCCTCCCCTGACTTCTCTTCCATTCTATTTCCAAGGAGCTGCAAGCACAGCTCCCCAACATATTCAGAGTCTCTTAAGTCCCCTGGGGGAGCTTCTTTGCCTCCAAAGGCTAGAATGGTATGGGGGAAGGTCACAGAAAAGGGCTTTGCTGGGCAAAAAGAAGCTCATTTCCAGGTCTATGGGATGTCAGCTTGGACAACTGAGGGGACCCTCATCAGGTAGCCTGACTGTTCCTTTTCCTGACCTGGCTGCACACAACTCTCAGCCCCATGCCTTGGCCTCTGCCGACCTGCCCTGGTACTCGGCCAGCCCATTGCCACAGCCACAGTCTCAGAGAAAACATGTTCCCATGTGGAAGGTGAATGACTCCCTTCCCGCATAGGGGTAAAATCTCATCCCAACCCATTCTCGCCCTTAGACCCTCAGCTTTCTCCTGGCAAATGCCTTTTTTTTTTTTAAATAAAACTCTCCCCCCTCATTTTAGGATAAACACAGTGGTCCCTTGGCTCCTGTGACACTCTTATCCGGATTTTGACCCTACCTGCTCTAGGACAGCCTCAGTCTGCAGATCCTCTAGAATCTCTTTCAGTACTGGCCTCCTGGAGTCCCAACTACACACCCAGACCCTCAGGACCCTCGCTCTGTCCTTGTTCTTGTCTTTCACTCTTGGCCCCTCGGGTAAAAAGCGCAGAACTTGGGTTCTTGTGCTTGGGTTCCTACAACACTTAGCCACCTCCTAGCCCATCACTACCAGGCCTCCTCTCAGTGCAGTCATAGGTACCTCCTACTGGAAATGTCCTCTCTTCCTCATCCTCCACCTGCCTCACCTGGGCTCTCAATATTCACACCGTCTCTCTACCCCACCCTACTCCATTAGCTCTCTCAAATATGCCCAACAGTCTTGCTGCTCTTCCACTCAAACATTTAATGGCTTCCCACCACCTCCAACACAGAAGGAACACTGGGTTTCCTGGAAAACTGGTCTTGTTCTTCAATCTTGTTCCTCCACTCAGAGAGACCCACCCTGCACCTCTGGGCCACGCTGCCTCTGTCTTCTCCTCCCCTCTCCCTTTACCCCAGAGGCACAGGCTCTGGCAAGGATTCCTCTATCTGGGCCCCTCCCTGCTTCATAGCCACAGCCCCAGACCTAGAGGGTCGCTGAAAATGTTGGTTAAAAAAAAAAAAACACAGAAGTCCCATGAGCTTCTCTCCCTACCCCTTTCTGCCTCCCCTCCCCCCAGCCATTCACTGTCCTTGACAAGCCAGCGTGAAAGCAGGAGCCTAGCAATCAAAGTTGGCAGCTAGAACCCTGAGGGCCTCCCCACCCTTTTCACCCAGCCCTGGGGCCTGGAGCAGGGTCCTTGGCACAGTTATCTCCCTTGGACCCCCACAACCACCACCACATCAAACCCGGGTTAGACACATGTAAAACCAGTCCTCCCAGCCACACTGGACGCATGCCCAGGACACACAAAGCAGCCACTAGGGACAGACACATGGACGTGGGGCCGTGCACATAGCTGGTCACCCCTGAGCAGTCACAGAGGATTGAGCGAGGGGCAACCCCAGGAGAATACTGGCTGATCTGAGGATACTGTCGGTCTCTTGGGACAACTCCAGCCACATAGGTTGGGGACTGTGTGTGTGTGTGTGTGTGTGTGTGTGTGTGTGTGTCTGTGTGGTTGGGGGGGCATCTTCTTTCTGGGTGTGGTACTGACTGGAGAAGATGGGCTGAGGCCAGGAGGAGCAGGGCAGGACACAGGTCTTCCATGTGCCAGGCGACTGGGAGCCCCAGGAAAGGCTGGACATTAGTATGCTATTTCCACAGCTACCTGTGTCTCTGGCATCTGGGAAGGAGAAATCCAAGGGCATTCCCAAGAGAACAACCCTTCTATTTTGAGAGTCCTAGTCCAGTCCCTACAAAAGGCAGGAGACAGGACGCAGCTCCAGAAAAAAGAATCTATACCTGCTTCTGGACCAGGTCAGGAGGGACTTTATAGGGCTGTGCTGGTATGCGGGTCTTCCTCCAGCACAGGCTCCATGCAAGCAGGGAGGGGCTGGCTCACCTTGTACAGGTAGGATAAACCTTCCTGGACAGCTCAGCTGCCTTCACATGAGCAAAAAAATAAGCTTCATGCTTCTCAAATTGGCCCTAAACACAGCAAGGGGGAATCGCCACTCAAAATAATCTGTTTCCTGAGCCTTCACACTTTCTCCACTGTGGTATTAAGACTCCAGGGTGGTGGAGGAGATTCAGACTCTGGGAGGGAGACCCTGGAACAGATGACCAGAGTACAATAACGGTCTGGGGTGTGCTCCTGGTCCCAGACATAGATCTCTCAGAAGCATGGTGAGTCCCATGACCACCACTCTGCTCGTAAGTGGGGCTGTGGGGGTGGAGTAGAGGCAGAGGTAGGGAATCAGCTGTAAGACAAGGCAGGAAGCAGGCCAAGGAACAAGACACACTGAGGACAAGGGATCCAGCAACGGGAAAGCAGCAGCTGAGGAAGCAGGAGTCAGAGAGGCAAGATGTGCTCACACTGGTCTAGAAGGAGCTACAGGTTAACACAGGGACTCCAGGCAGGGAGGGGTCACAGGGAGACAGGGTCCAACGATGGTAGCATTAGAACTAAAGGGCGGGTACTCTGGGTTGGGATATAGGCTCTAAAGGGCTTGCCACACTCCAAACTCAGACAGACGAGAGCTACACACATCTCCCATCCCATGCATGTCCTACCTGGAGGCCCCATAGGTTTGAGTTTGCGAGCTTTCAAGGGTTTCACACACACACACGGAGGGAAAAGAACCAAAAATTTTTAAAAGAACGGGATAAGAAAAAGAAAATGAAAAAAAAAAGTTGAGGGAAGTAGGGGAAACAACAGAATAAAGAAAATTAGCCCATAGCTCAGTCCTGTCCCAATGCCCTACAAGGAGCACGGAGCTTGGGGCAGGGCCAGGCAAGGGCTAAGGGCTCAGGGCTCCAGAGGAGCCTGGGGTGGGTGCTGAAGGAGGAATGGCAAGGCCATCTTTGTCCCAAGCAATGCCCTGCGGTGACTGATGCAGGCAGAGTGGTGTATGGTCTATCTGACCATTGCTGGTTGCCAGATCCCTGAAGACGATCCCCAGCCCAGGGGTCCTGGCAGAGCTCTGTGCCCATACCACCTGGAGGTGACTCGGATGGAGAGAAACAGATGGGATGAAATGCTCTGACAGCGGCCATGAAGCTGAAGCTGATCCAGCCTCTTTTCTCTCACAGCACCCAAGGGGCTCTGACTTAAAGCATCAGGCCTCCCATCTTCACCTGAGCTTAAGCTTTGTGCACACAGTTCCCAAGCCAGTGCTGCTACCCGACTTCTGAGCAGTGGCCCTCATCCCTGGTGACCCCCCAGAAAGGCACTTCCTGACCTCTTCCTGCTTTTTAGATCCTCCTGGGGTATCCTGTACTCTGCCTTGCTAACACACACACACACCACACCCTCACTTACACACACACACACACACACACACACACACACACGGCCACTCACTCACACACACCATCATCACCCTAGTCTCTCCTGGAGAGCACAGTCAGAAGAACACAGTCACCACTGCCCTTCTTCGGGACTGCAGCACTAAGGCCATCACTCATCTCGCGGAACAGCTTGGGTTGGGGATCACAACACAGTGTTCCCCAAAGAGGAATGGAAAGCAAAGGATGGGCACAGGAGTAAGAAATAAAAGCCATGACACCGTAAAACAAAGAACCAAATCAATACGGTGAAACAAACCACACAGAACCCTTTGTGGAAAAATACATACGCGTGGGAAAAAAAAGAAATTAAAATCAATGGGGTAAAGAACAAATGGAAACTAAAAAGCCAACCACCATGCAGGGTGGAGAGGCCGGGCCTGGCGCAGTACCTGTACATGGGCACAGTGACTGTGCGTTCGTAGTACTGCCACGTGGAGTGCAGATCGGTGCGTGAGAGGTTAGTCGCATAGAATCTCCAGGCCGACTGCAGTGGAAAGAGGTGAGATGGTTGCCACTGGGCTGAGGCTACCCCGCTCCAGGGACCTCATCGACACAGGACTGCAGCCCCCGTGCCTGTCCTCACCCCACACCCTCAGGGTGTGGGAGATACTCTGGCTCTGGCTCACAGTGAGCCCTGCTGATCTCCTTCCTGTCTGTCTCTCCTGACATCGAGTGGGTGACTTCATTAACCTCCCCGATCCAAACAAGACCTAACCCAACCCCATGAGTTCTAAGGAGGAAGGTAAGGTAAGGAGGTAGCTCCTTCCTCCAGGCAAGATGGCACAGGCTCGGTCTTCCTCACTGGCTAGGGCTTCTTTTCCCTATACTTTGTTGTTGTTGTTGTTTTGTTATGTTTTGTTTTGTATATGCAACAAAATCTATACAACATAAAGTCCATCACTTTGACTGCTTTAAAGTATACACGCCGTTGCGTCACCTTGGCCACTATCTAACCACAGCGTCTTACCCTCAGAAAGGCATGCCCATATGTCCACACCTCCATTACAGCCTCCTCCCAGGCTCTGGCAGCATCAGCCTTTTAGTCTTGAGAGATTCGACTGTTTTGGAAATTTCCTACCCATGATTATATGGCCTGACTGTTAGTTTCTTGCACGGAGGGAAAGGCCCTCAGCGCCGACCTGAACTTCAGTGTGCACTCAGCTCCATCTGTTTCCTGACTAAACACTTGCCTGTGCAGGCATGTCACAGACACCAGTGAACATAGCTGTCCCATATTCTGGCTGTTATGTTCAGGGCACGACAAACACGGAAGCTTTTGGCTGAATACCTGTCTTGGGTTCTAACAAAGGAGAGAGCGTGTGGGTAAGGAAACAATTCCATGTGTCACTTTCTTTTCTGTTTTTCTTTTCTTTCTGGTGCTGAGGGTAGAATCCAGAGCCTTGCACACGGGAGACAAGAGCTCTAGTAGTGAGCCCAGCTCGGATTATTGTCTTCTGAGTGGTTGCTGTACCACACATCCCCCCAGGGATGTGTGAAGGCCCAATGCCACCAAAACCCCACCAACACTTATTTTCCATTTTTTCACGTTTTAATCATCCCAGTGAGTGTGAAGTGGCATCTCATGATTTGATCTTCATTTCTCTAGCGACATAGCACCTTTTCACAGGCTTATGGCCAGTTGTCTCTCTTCTTGGAAAAAAATGTCTCTGTGAGTCCCTTGCCTCAAAACTCTCTGGGTTGTTTGTCTTTTTGTGATTGAGTTTTTGGGGTTCTTTATAGATTCTGGATATTAAATTCATTTCCAAACCCCTCCTTTTTTTGTTTTTTCGAGACAGGGTTTCTCTGTAGCTTTGGTGTCTGTCCTGGAACTAACTCTTGTAGACCAGGCTGGCCTCGAACTCACAGAGATCTGCCTGCCTCTACCTCCCGAGTGCTGGGATTAAAGGCATGTGCCACCACCACCCGGCTCATTTTCAAACTTTTTTCCCATTCTATAGATTGTCTTTTCACTCTTGAATGTCCTTTGAGGAACAAGTTTTTAATTTTAATGTTCTCTATTTTCTTTTGTTACCTTTGTGCTTCTTGGTATCATATATGAAAGATAAAAACAATAAATCTTGTTTACTCCCAAAGCATTTAATAGTCTTAACTCTTTGATTTAAGGCAAGGTCTCATTATACATCCCAGCCTAACCTCAAACCTGAGATCTTCTTGCCTCCATCTCCAGAGTTCTGGGAATACAAGCAAGCACCACAAAGCCTGGCCAAGCATCAATGAAAAAGAAAACAAAACTCCAAACAGAGTTTGATGACACATGTTTATGGTTCAGAACTTAGGAGTCTGAAGCAAGAGAATCACATGAGTTTGAGGTCAGTCTCTGTTACAAAACAAGCAAAAAAAAAAAAAAACCCCAGTAACAATAGCAAAACAGGTCTCCAGTTGCCCCATACCATGGATTGAAACAGTTCTCATCTGTAACCAGCCTGCAGATGGGCTAACTCATGCACTCACTGTTCTGCTGGTGTACTTGCCCTTACGTGAAAACACCACCATTTTGATGACCACAGCTTTGTAATTTAGAATCTGGAAGTGTGAGTCCCCATACTTTGTTCTCCTTCTTCAGCACCGACCTGGATATTCAGAGTCTGTCATAATTCCATAGAAACCTTAAGATTAGCTTTTCTGGTTTTGCAAAAAAGGGTGGAGGTCGTTGGATTTATGACCAATACAATGGATCTGCATATCAATGTTTGGGAAGAGCATTTTAATGAGATGAAGTCTTCTAGTCCATGAACATGGGATAACTTACTTTTGTCTTCATCAATAGTTCAGTTACATCAAGTTCATGGAGTCCAGGTTGGCCAGACTGACTTCTACAGAATGGCGATGCTTTGAGAGCTGAGGTCCTGGTACCTCCTCTGAGACTCCCCTCCAAGCACTTTTCTGCTTGGGAGCCAGAATCATATCCAAATGATAAATCTCTTGAAAAACCAGTCTTTATACCCTTGCCCCTACCTCAAGGCTACTGGGGTCACCGCTAACCAAATCTCTGGCCCCCAAACATGCAGGAAGGTCAGCTTCACTCAGAGGAAGGACCTTTTGATCAATTATTCTATGGCCTTGTATCATAAATGGGTTGGAGATATCTTGAAGCTCTAGAAGCCATCTTGAAGTCACAGTGGAAAAAACGGTGCAGGTAAGGCAGAGGGATTGCTCTGTCACGTCACCCACAGATGTCCTCTGTCACTTGTGGGTGAAGCAGGGACAGCATATGTTGTTGCTCTTTGGTGGCACTTCTGACTTTTGGAAGATGCATAGGTAGCTGCTGAATGGCCTTTGAGAAGAGTATATGGGAAGATACTCAATTTTTGCTGTCTTCTGTTAAACCTTTTGACCCCGTGGGCATGCAGTCACTTTCATTTTCAAATGGGAAGTCTGTTCTTCCTTGGTTTTTTTTTTGTTTTTTGTTTTTGTTTTTTGTTTTGTTTTGTTTTTGCAATTACAAAACAGTAGCCATGTGTTTTGTGGTGAAAGCTATGTAATACATACACAAAAAGAGGCTGGACCCAAGGTCGAGACTGTGAAGGCCACATCTTTAGAAAAGACAGACAGACATAGGGCCACATTCAGCTGGCAAGAAATCCTGCCCAGCTCTAGGGTCCAGCAGAAATATCTGTCTTCTTGCACACATGTTCAGGTGTTCTACGTTCCATCTGCCCCTAAATGATAAGGCCAACTGGGTAAGCTCAGTGAAGGAAGGCACAGTATCCACAGGCTGAGCAGCTAGGTCTAATTGGCACAGATGTGGTTCAAGAGCCACTAGATGCCAAATTATCAACATCTCTAAGCTATGGGTCTCACGGCTGCAGAATGGATATGATGAGACACCTACCCACAGGGCACTGGAAGGATCTGGATGGTTACTAGGACAGTATGGCCTTAGCCAATAACCCGCTGGGAAGAGGGCCAGCCACCATCACTACCGTGAGTCACTGGGTATGACCTCAGATTGTCTGAACTATTCTCATATTGAAAACAATCTTGTCTTCCAAACATGGGTCTATCCATAGACATGGAAAAGCCTGGTACAGCCACTGTCAATGCCAAAATCTTGGTGGGCTTCCTTCTAGGTAAGGTGGAATCAGAATGGGGGTTGGTCCCTGGCAGGGACTAAGGCTCACCTGGATCAGACCTGCTGCGGGGTTCCGTCGCTTCTCAAAGTGTTTTTGCCGATGCTGCTCTTGAACTTTCAGAGCAAAGCCAGATCCCAAAATGCCCTGCAAGTCACTGAGATCAGACCACACCCTGGGACCACGACCCTCCTCACCCTTGCCTACAAGGCTTCCTACATCCTTGGAATTCCCTAGCACTTCATCACCTAAAGCCCAGGCTTGGGGGAATCTCTGGCCAGCAGAAGGCAGTGCCTAATGATCCCAAACAGGAGCCCTCCTAACCTGCTCTGTCCACAAACAGCTACAGCCAGCTGCCCTCTGCAATCCCCAGTGCAGCAGCTGGCACACCCATCCTATTCTGTATAGGGTGAATGAGGACCCCACTGTCTAGGGTCATTCAGACGGGAAAACCACAGAAGTCAACAGAGCTGTGTCTGCAGATGCTAGAAGTCTACATACTGAGATAGCCTTCTAAATCAGGAAAACCTCACTCTGGTCTGGGATGGGACCTCTCTAGGGAATGTGAACCCTATGGGGACAGTTCACAAGTGGCCTGTGATCAAGTCTAACAGGTAGCCTCTGAGACACCCCCTAACATCCCTAGGGCAGGAAGGGGTGTAGGACTCACTGCAGGAAGGGCGAAGAACGAGACGCCGATGAGGGTAAACGTCGCGGCCAACAGCCTCCCGTTCCAGGTCTGAGGGTACTTGTCCCCGTAGCCAATGGTCGTCAGGGTGATCTGAGGGGCAGGGAGCTCCGGTCACTTGGGCAGACTGGCAATGGCCTACCAAAGGCCTTTCATCCCAGGCCAGATGTCCCTGCTCAGTCGTGAGAAGCTCACCCAAGTAGTTTGCCTGTATCTTTGGGGGCAGCTGGACACTGAAGCCACTCAGACTTGGGCTGGACAAACAGGAGGGTCACCCTTGTTACATCACCCATGTTAAGGCAAAGCAAGGCCAGGGTCAGCACAGGCTGTCCTTTATCCTTCGATTCCACCAAACCCCAATCTCTCTCCATTCCCAACACTCAAGGGAACACTTGAGGGGGTAGACGTCACAGTACACACCGGAACCAAACAAGGACAGCGGTTGCCATCCAGGCGAGCTGCTGATGTACTAGCCCCTGCTCTGTGCTCAGAAGTAGGGGGCATCAGTGAACTATGCGTACCCACCGAGTAGGGCACAAGAACAAGGAAGTGCAAGGATGCCAGGGTCCATAGAGGGCAAGGAGAGTAGGTTTCATGGATGATGGGGACAGTCTCTCAGGAGGGGAGGAGGGCAGTGGTGGCAGGTAGGGGGTGGCCAAGACGACAAATGGGTAGCAGTGAGGGGGCTGTATTCTAGGAACCAGTAGACATTTTAAAATACAATAATTACTTCGAAACAATAACGATAAAATGTTTGCTTCAGTTCTGAAAGAGAAGAAAGGCCTAGGTCCGAAAAAATACTAAAGAGAATGGACTAGATCACTCTCCAGGACCCAGGGCCAGCTGTTACAGCTCAGATCTCCTGGGTGCCAGGCTGACTCCTGTGGCAGAGCCTGGGTGCACGGTCAGACAGTCCAGCTGCTCCCGCCCTGTGCCTCTCACACGCTCACCACTCCTACTTATCTCCCAGCCTTAAGTTCACCTCACTCCCAACAGCCCTGCTCCTTCCCAGAAGGACACAGGATTCAGGGCTGTGGTCATTAGGAAGATCATTAATAAACTACCCTGTGGCTTCCTCCCCGGAGACGCTGTCCGATCCTCTCCCAGAGACTGTAAGTGTAGCACCTGCCTAGATCACCATTTCATGGGCTCTCAGGTGACAACAGCCTCTTCCCTGAGCCTCCAAGGAGTCCAGAGCATTGGAGTAGGAGGGGCTACAAGAAACCCATTTCTCTCTAATTAGGATGGGTCTCAGGACTAGTGTGGTCTTCAGAAAAAAAGGGGTCCGGGAAACCTGTCATCCTTGCCCACTCCAAGCAGAAGTCCAATGGTGTCTAACAGTCCCTCTGAAAAGGGACAATGACAGAGGACTTCTGGACTATTCTAGGCAGTGTCCAGCACAGGGAGCCTCAGGCATAAAGGCCAGGTAAGGTTTTAGCATTTGGGCAGCAGCAAGTCGGGATCACTGTCAGCAGGTTGCAGACCATCCAAAAAAAAAAAAAAAAGCCTCAGAGAGTCAGTGCCCCCTTTGCAGTGTGTGTGTGTGTGTGTGTGTGTGTGTGTGTGGTCATTCAAGCTTTTACGTTGGTGCTGGAGATCCAAACTGAAACTTCCACACTCTCACAGCAAGCAGTTTTCCCTCTGAGCTCTCTTCCCTGTGTACTCTCCCTGGTCCTCACAACTAAAGGCAAGATCGTCGGGAGGTTGGAGACCAGAAGCAAGTGGCCTGGGATGGTGGCAACTGGCCTTGGAAATGGAAGGCCGTGACAACAGTGCTGTCTCCGGAGACCCTCCCACTGCTCCAAAGCTGTGAGGGTCATTCATACTCTTGAGCTGGGGAGCCCCAGGCTGGCTCTATCCTGATCACTACTCTCAGGACTCCAATATTTCCCCACCCCAATCTTCCTCCTCCATAATCCAGTGCCAAGTAGGGATTTCAGGCAGGTGACGGGGAGAAAGAAACCCAGTCTGTCCGCTACCACATCTACCAACACAATAACCACATCACCCTCAACTGTCAGCTCCATCATGACTACAGTCATCCACCAGGGGGCCTCCACGAGACATGCCCACCCCGGTCAGCCTAAGGCTGTCAGGTCTCTTCTCCCAGGTCCCAAGGGGCAGGGTATATCTTCAGGACAGCAGTATCAAGAGGATGTGGAGGAGGAAGTGATCCGTGACCAGGACTTACCAGGCCCCACCAGAGTGCATCTGCATAGGTGTCAAAGTGGTCATTCTCACCCTTCTCTGCCAGATACACCAGAAAAGAAGCCAGGATGAGGCAGAGGAATCCGATGTACCAGGCAGTCACCAGTTCCTGCAAAGGCAAGAGACCATATCATTGTCCCACCCGGGGCCAACTTGGACAATGTCAAGCGTGAGAGTCCTGCCCTGAACTCTGTATCTCAAAGGCTTTGGGGGATAGAGTCCCCTCACGAGGCCAACAAGGTACGGCTAGAGTAGACACTGGTCAGGGCTGGCAGCAGGGCCTGTCTGATAATCAAGGGTGAGTTCTGTCCGATCAGCACAACTCTTTCAGCTGAATATTTTAGACCTTGGAGCAGAGCATCCAACAGCCCAGTAAACATCCTGCCCATGGCTGGGAACACATACCCCAAGCCAGGAACTGTAGTCCCAGCACTGGATACTGTGGAGATATTCTCAAAAGAGGGTGCATGCCTAAACAGGTATACACTCAGTTCCTAAAATTGAGGGTACAATGGAGGGAGGGAGAGACTAGGTTCCAGGGAGCTCAATTTCCCCAGGGTCCAGTGCCTGCTCCCACACCACCATGGCCAACAAAAAAAAAATAATAAAATAAAAAAATAGGGGACCTAGCAGGATAGAGAACACTCAATGAGTCCAATACGTGCACAGAGGCCTATAGTATAGGTCTTGGCCGCTGAGAACTCCTTCAACACAGACCGTGTGCCCACAGTCAACCCATGAGTACCCTGGTCAGCAGCCACCACAAGCCACAGCTTAAACAACCCCTAGGCAGGTAATTCAGGCACAGTATTGATCCAGGCCCTCAGAACCAGGAAGGGAAGCACTCAGCCACAGGGGCTGCCAGCTATAGGGAGGGCTGCTCAGACTAAGAATTCCTCAGCTTCTGGGGACAGGTGAGGAAGGAAGAGGGAAGATCGTCCATATCTTGTCTGGTCCTGGTTACATCCACTTTGGAGCCAGGGTAACAAGCAAGACTCAGGCTAGGCCAGGGCTCACCTTGCTGTGAGCATACACCACGGATCCCAGGAGCTTCCAGGTGCCACCCCTCCGGTCCATGCGGATCATACGTAAGATTTGCAGGAACCGCAGGCTCCGAAGTGCGGATGTGGCAAAGACATTTCCCTGGGAGCCGGCAGCCAGCACAGCGATGGAGGCAATCAGCACCATGATATCTGTAGGAGACAGGCACAGTGCCCAGGGTCACCTCCTCTGGACCCCCAAAGGATCAATGGCCCCATAGACAAGCAAGGTCATGTAGGCCTTGGGGAAGGTGGTTCCCAGTGCCCACCCTGCCTACCTGTGGTGTCCGGGGAAGACTGCCCAGCACTTTGTCCCTCCCAGCCATGGGCACCAACTCCAAGTCAGTAGAAAGAAAGGCTTCCAGAAGACCCTCCCTATTCACTCAGCCCACGGTGGCCAAGACAGAAGCAACTCCTGCCCCAGACCCAACTCTGGTGGCCATGTCGGCCAGGCCTCACCGATCACACAGAACGGCTTCCTGGCAAACTTGAGCCTGCCCCTCCAGCCTCGATACCGGCAGCAGCAGCCAGCAGCCCAAATCCTCACAAAGTACTCAACGCCAAACACCACAATGGTCACGATTTCCTGGGAGGTGGGAGGAGCACAGATGAAGATACTGTCAGGTCTTAGGAAGGCTGGCTGTAGACTGCATGGGCAGTCTCAGGACAGGGATAGATAAAGTCCCATGGCTCAGGAGCTAGAAGTTAGAGCTGCAGGTTTATCCCTCAGCTCACGTCAGCCAGGACTGAATCCCTTCTAGATACACTTCTCCCAGGGGCTCACTGCTATCAGCAAGTCCTGACCCTGTAGATCGCCAGAGGAACCACCCTTCCTGCCTCCCTTCTGAACGAGATCACTCCTGTTTGAGATGCCGTGGGAGGCTCTGGTGTCAGTGTACTGGGTGGGCGCCGGCACTGAGCGAGTTCTCAGTCAAAGCAAAGGGAGAGCAGGTTCCTCTAGAATTCAGGCAGCCCCAGGGGCAGTGGGGGCAAAGTGGGTAGAAGAGCATCCTAGTGGGATGGTTCTCCTTGAAGGGCCACCTCCATTACCAATGGCAACAGAGCAATTACGTACTGTTTCCATGACGCCCACCCCGGCCCCATCACAGGGTTTATGTGAGTGAGCATCGCGGCCTCCCACCCCCTCACCCACATCTTCTGTGGAGCACCACACACTTCCAGTGGAAACACCTATGCACTTAGACTCCAGAGAGCCGTGTGGGAAGGAGAGGTGGTGAGAGCTGTTTGATGCTGTGATGTCACTTCTGCTGTGGACTGGGAGTCTGGGAAGGGGCTTGAGGTCTGCATCACAATGCCGGAAGTAGCAGCGACTGCGGATGCATGAACTCCTTCTGCTCTGGAGGAGCCCTGGATACAAGGGCCTGACTCGCTCAGACACTCGGGGTTAGGGACAGACTGGAGGGCTTCAGGGGTGGGGAGGAAGACTACTGTAGAGGTTTCACCACGGGATCAACCAGGGCTCTTTCCCAGCCAGGCCTCTCCCCGCTGCCCTGCCCAAGGGTGGGGCTTACCAAGATGTAGAGGGCCCCCTCTGAGCTCTTCTCGTACTCCTTGATGGTGGAAAATACGGAAAGCACAAGGCAGGAGAAGACCAAGAGAAACCTGCAGGAGGTGAGAGACACGTGGTTAGTGGGCCAGCCTGGGACGAGAGTCACTGGAGGGCCCTCAGAGAGCAGCAAGGAGAGCACAGTTTTTACCATTTCCTAACCAAAACTCTGCAATCACACTGGTTCCATACCAGGCCCCTCCCTTTCTTTGGTCTATCCGGTTTGGGTCTTGACAACCTTAGCTAGTGCAAGAGCAATAAAAAGAACCAACTCCGCAGAAGACAAACATTCATACTTTTTACGAAATGCAACACTTCCTCCCTCGGTTCAGAGGCAGAAAGCTTCTCTTCCAACTGGATTTGGTGCTGAACAAGAACTTCTAAGATCATCATTCTAGCCTTGCCCTAGCTGCCATAGTCTCTCCATTTCCCCTTCCTTAAAATGTAGAGATTCCTGCTGACCAGCGTATGCTGTAACTACTCCTCTCTCCTTTTTTACCTGACCCTCCCTGGCCTACCAAAATTCTCCTGCAAGACCTCTGCCTCTATCGTGGCTATGTGCATCCTCTGACAAGCTGTGTACCTTCTCCCTTACCCAACCCCAGAGAACAAGTGCCAGAGTCCTACTACAGGATCCCAGCTTGCAGCCTTTGACAAGGGCACACCAAGCGAAATAAACACATAATAGACAGCATAGCAATAACACTACTGGCTGAGGACCACCACACGCACATCTCATCCCGGGAGACTGGAACCGCTGCAGCTAAATCACCAGAGGCAAACTCTAGAGTCGGTGAGATGGTTCAGCAGGTAAAGATGCTTGCTGTCAACCTCAGGACCTGGGTTTCATCCCCTAGGCCCACATGGTAGGAGAAAACCAATTCCCGTAAAGGGGGTGGAGTGGGGGAAAAAGGGAGAGAGAGAGAGAGAGAGAGAGAGAGAGAGAGAGAGAGAGAGAGAGAACTATAATAAAAAATTTTAAACAGAAAATGAAAACTCCAATACAAATGAGCCTCACAGGTGTGCATGGGATGTGTGTGTGTGTGTGTCAGGAACCCACTTCTTAGGCAGCTCAAGGAAAATTAGCACTTCTCTGCAGATGACAACCGATCACACAAAAGAGGCACATCCAACATGGAGTCATGGGGTCCTGTGCATGGAACATGCTTGGCCACAAGGCACCAAGAAGAACTCCACATCCATCCGAACTACAAGAACTCTTGCTCCAAGAGTTTCTCAGGCCTGTTTCCACCTGCCAGCAGTCCCCGGCTACCTTCAAAAGCCAGGCGTCCATCCACATGCCCAGCACACAATGATAGCAATGATGATGACAATGTCAACAGAGCTACCATGCTCCTGTTGGGCCTCCATGTCCTTCTGTGGCCCCTACCTTTGGATAGCTGACGAGTCCAGAGGGTCAGGTTCCTTCCACACAAATCTCCCTCTCAGCCTAATGTGTGGAACCGGCCACTGTCCCTACCCCTTAGTTCACAACTTCCCTCTTACCACTCTTTGATTTATGCTACTGCAGGCTCAGGGTGCTGTCCATGAGGACATGCCCCCCTTGGGTGGTCACTTTCAGCCCAGACAGGTTTGGAGCACAGCACAAGGGACTTGTGCCCAAAGATCTCCAGGAAAACCAAGAATGTTAAGCACACAGAATTGTCCTCTCAAAGGAATGGACTTAAAACCTGTTCCTCTATCCAGAAAGCTGGGAATTGGAGGTGATTGGTGATGTGCATTATCTGCTGGGCCAGGCCACATCAAGCTCCCACAGCCAGGACCAGAGGTGGTTAATCGTCCAAATGACCTCTACTATATCCGCATGACTAAGATCAGGCCAGATCCTTCCTTAGGCCTGTAAGCTAATACAGGTAGCCCATCTCCAGAGCCCATCCTCTCGGAAGAAATGACATGTACCCTGAGTTGAGTTTCAATGTAATTATGCTTCCTTGTGTACCAGGGATTGTATTACACTCGGAAAATTTTCCCCAAATTCTATTGTCTTTAAATATGCTGACAATAACCCTGCCCCTGGCATCAGACTCTCTAGATTCTAGAGTCTATAAAGTTTGATCCAGGTTGACAAAGACATTGAACCAGGTTTCATTCTCACCTCGGCACAGTTTGTTTCCCTACCTGCCATGACCACCTGCAGGGTCCTGGTGCGGGAGAATTATCTGTATTCTGTCAATCATATTTTAATAAAACGCTGATTGGTCAGGCAGGCAGTATAGGCGGGTCAACCAGACAGGAAGTAGAAGCGGGGCAAAGAGAATAGAATAAGGTTATGGAGGAGGAAGGTCCCTCCGGCACTCCTGCGCAGATCACTGAAGAAGCAACATGTAAGCTGTCACACTGGAAAAGGTACTGAGCCATTATGGCTAATATAGATGAGAATAATGGGTTAATATAAGTTATAAGAGTTAACAAGAAGCCTGACCTAATGAGCCAATTAGTTTATAACCTTATGGAGTCTTGTGTGTGATTTCTCTTTGGGGCATGCCGGCTGAGGGGTACCGGGCGGGACAGATACCCCAACAAGCCGGCCCTCATGTTACATATGGCGCCAACGTGGATAACTGAATCCACAGAAAACTTGAAAAGTTTGGGAAAGAATAGAGTGAAGCATGTTTTCTTGGTGGCAGCAATTTCTCAGGTCTGCTCTGCTTGCTAGAGGCAAGCAATGTTCTCATTTAAGAGAGGCTTCCTGACTCAGCTTTAGCTGCAAAACTTTGTAGCTCATTAAGAGGTCCTGCCGCGAAACACTTAAATGGTATTGATGAAAAGCTGAATGCATGCTTTTCGGTTTTCAGTCGTAGCAGGAAAAACGCTGCGCTGTTTTAAAATGCCGGTTTTCTGGGCCGTCCTGCCAGGGCAAACTCTGACTCTTTCAGGCAGGCAGTCCGACTGAGTGTGGTCTGTGAGCAGAATGCTCCAGCTTGTTTGCTGGCAGGGACCTTGAAACGCCATAGAGTTGTGGCAGTAAAAGGCTCCAATGGTACCTCTAATATGAGTCTGGAAAGCTAAAAAATGGACTGGGTCTAACCGTCAAAGCCACGGTTTTAGACTCATGTGGTCATAAAAAAGAGAGAGAGATACAGTAAAGAGAGGTTCAAAGACAAAGAAAACCTCTAAATGGTTTACTATGTGTTAAAAATATATGCAGGCTAAAGGTTAAAGTTCTTAGGGTAAAAGAGGAAGAAAGAAAGTAGTTGGATGTGGTGGTACACACCTTTAATCCCAACACTTGGGAAGCAGAGGTAGATTGACCTCTGTGACCTCAAGGTGTGGTAGTACACACCTTTAATCCCAATGCCTGGTAGGCAAAGGTATATTGACCTCTGTGACTTCAAGGTGTGGTAGTACACACCTTTAATCCCAATGCCTGGGAGGTAGAGACAGGCAGATCTCTGTGAGTTCAAGGACAGCCTGGTCTACAGAGTTATTCCAGGACAAAGATATATACAGAGAACCTGTCTCAAAAAGCCAAAAGTTAAAAGAAAAAATAAAAGAAATAGAGGTTAAAATAAAGCTGCATAAAGATGGAAAATACACAGAGAATCTTGATACTGTATGCTATTATGCTCTCTTTGAATTGTTTGAATGCTGAGGAAGGAGCAACAGCTGCTAAAAGACTTTTGTTTATAAATGCTGCTGAACTAACCCAAGATAGGTATTTTGAAAATTCCTTGACTTCAGAATTTGGGTCTAAGAATATGATGCTTTGGAAAGGAGGTCCTTCTTTTGTTTTCACAGAGGATGAGACCCTGTGGATTGCTTCTATCCCAATATGGTATGATAGACCACGCCCTCCTGAAAGGTTGCTGTGAACACCCTCAAAAAATTTCTTCACTCAACTGCCGACTGAGATGAACCTGGCAGACAGGTTATACCATGAAAGACCTGATTAACTGCGCCCCTATACAGCAGGAAGAAGTTTGGAGAGAAATAACTACGTCCATATTCCCAAATATTGTTTATAAATGTTCCTTTACATTTAAAGGGGGATATGATATAGATATGAATAATTTCATTGGTATGGATTTTAAGGTCAATTTTGTTATATGTGTATATATTTCTGATTTTGATTGTGTAGTTCATTTAAAATGCAATGTATAATTAAAAATATAGGTTGTTAATGGATAATCATCGATAATAGTCAAGCTTGAAGTAATGTTAGTCTGATTTTCTAGAAATGCATAGATATATTTCAGATAGACATTCACATCTTTCAAAGACTACAGAACATGGCATTTAATGTTTTAATAACTTAGGACTTTTCATGACAATGAGACACGTCTGCTCCTGGCAGCACTAATCTACTTCAAGAGGAAGATGGGCATCGAAGAGGCTCCTTATGGAGTTGGTTAGCCATTTGGGCAAGAAACAGCTCTTGCCTGGACTGTTATATAAACTGGACACAGAGAACCCGCAGAGAGAGGACTGCTGAACTTGCCTAAAGGTGAGATGATCTTTCGGGGTTCCTGATTCATGAAAGAGTCTGCGAGACATTCTGCAGGACACAGCAGATAGTGACTGAATTGCCTTTAAAATTTCCTGCTTCATGGAAATGTCTCTGGATGTTATGGGCCTGAAGGCCGAAGATGGGTGCCCCAACGATACAGAGGAACTTTGGGTGACTGTCCAGGCAGCGAGATGTCTCTGTCATTTCTAGAGTTTTGGAAGTTGCTTACTTCTTGTTTACTTAGGTAATATATCCTTCTGGAGTCTTTGATGGAGTTGAAGAATGGATAGTCGTAGTTATAGTTTTCCATTATTATGATAAAGATTTAGTTATAAATATTGTGACTGTAATTCTTGCTTGATAACTGTTTTGTTATGTGTAATTTTACTATGTTAAAATGAAAGCTTTTCTTTTTTGTTTAAACAGAAAAAGGGGAAATGATGGAGGAGGGTTATCTGTCTATTGTGTTATTTTCATTGGTCAATAAAGAGACTGCCTTGGCCCATTGATAGGACAGAAAATTAGGTAGGCGGAGAAAACAGAACAGAATGCTGGGAAGAGGGCAATGAGCCAGACGCCATGGAGCCA